CTGTGTCATCGCAATTTTTGATTGAGTGTTGAAGTAGTCCGAGATTGTATTATGTTACTTCACTTGGCTCTGTGATTGGTCAAGAAAACTCGTGCCACTCTCTCAACCAATCAGATTCAAAACTAAAACCAATAACAACTTGGTCGCCCGCGTTTTCCCGCGCTTTAGGCAAATTGGTTGGTTTTACTTTGAGTTCTCGTATCAAACGTATTTTCCTTTCTTTTGATCGGCCGTTGTCATTGGCTTTGCTTTTACGACACGAAAAGCGCTCCATATTTAAAGCAAAGGATTGGTTTACCTCGGCTTTTACGACGCTGTTTCTCCACAATCGAAGTCCTTCTTGCCACATTTCTCTCAAACTCTAGTCTTTCATCTTCTACCTGTTTGCGTTTTTCTTCCTGTCGAACCAACAACATTGCGCAACGACGCTTCCAATTCTCCCTCATCTAAAAAAAAAAGCAGTGGAAACATTACAATAAGATTTTGTTTGAGTCTGTACAGGAAAAAGAAATGAAGTAGTTACCTTCTTAGCGTGCTAATGTGTCGTGCTTTTCGCACATGTTAGAGTTAACATTGCATTGAAGTTTGCTCAACGAGTGGTACACGCCAGCTTCTATCCATCTACAAATCTGAATTTTTTTCGCAATGGTTGTCAAATCAGGATTTTACTTATTTCTTGCAATCCTAAGGTTTTGCAAACCTACGCCCTGAAACTGACTCACAATGAAAACCATGAGACAACTTTCCAATCCTCGTTTTCCCAGCGCTCGACCTTCGAGTTGTCATTGGTTCATCGAGTTGCATTCTATCTTTTGCTATGACCGTTTTGCTCTTAGTTTCAAAACGTCGCATGCTGAGTTGGTTCAAGAATGCTGAGATACTAAAGAAGTCAGAAGAAAATATGTCTACCCTTTGTTCTTTTTCTTCCACCATAGACTGTTTTTTCTGTTGCACCAATGATTCTCTTTTTCTGTCTTCATAATTTCGTTTCACGAGGAGGCGAATTTTAGTTTTCTTACCCTGCAAAAATAAATCGATAAAAAAAATTAAATTAGCCGGTGGGCAGGGAGGGGGCCAGACAGGCAAATAGCTCAAGGTCATGTCGTGGGGAACTTGCTGCGCTCCAACTCCACTCCAGTAAATTATAAAAACGTAGCTACTGAGCGGGAGGGCCGGTCGGGAAAATGTCTGGCTGGAGGTGATAATGTGTGGCACTCGCTGCCCTACACTTCCACTTCAGTAAGTAATATACACTTACTGTATGGTCCCAAGGGAAACAGTTAGTTTTGTTTTCCTGAGAGTTCTGATGTTTCCCTCGACTTCGTCTTGAGAAACATCAGGACTCGAGGACATGCTGTTGTATTCGGAGCGCGGGCAACAACTGCGCAATTGTATCCCGGTCGGGATACATTTGAATTTGATCAGAGCCACGTAACCAAGAATCAACCAATCACAGTGCTCGTTTTAATGAGTGAAAGTCTAGGTATCCAACACTATAAAATTATCGACTGAGCGGAAGGACTGGACGAGGAAACATTTGAGTCGAGGTCGTGACGTACGAACCGAGCACAGTGAGCTCTACATGTCAAAACATGTAGAGCTCGCTGCGCTCGGTCCATACGTATTACATGTCAAGGTAATAAGGCGTACGCAAGGCTGTGAGCAGCAGGACCGTACAGCTTCTAACAGCTTCCCCCTCCCTCCCTCCCTCCCCCTCCCTTCCTCCATTCCTCCCTTCCCCCTCCCTCCCCAAATAAATCCATGAAATTATGAATAAATAACTGTAAATATATGAAAATCATACATGTGAACTGCGGACAAAGAAACGTTCCTTCGTCTTCAAGTTCACATATATGATTTTCAGATATTTATATTCAAAGTTATTTATGTCTAACACGCCTTGGTTTCCGTTTCATTCTTTTGCAGTTCTCTATCAGCGAGATGCTTCTCTCTTTCACTTGCTTCCCTGTCCTTTTTTCGCCTCACGGCTTCTTTGTACTCTTCCCTCCTCTTCCGATCTTTCGCTTGTAGTTTTAGGTACTTTTCCCTGTCTGTTTCACGCTTTTTGACAGCGCGTTCTTTCAGATCTCTAGCCTTCTGTTCCCGCAACCGCACGATGCTGTACAGCTCTTTGTCCCGAAGAAGACGTTCCCTAGCTTGCTTCTCTTTCCAGAGCTGAAGCTCAAGCCGACGCTGTCTTCGGCGTTCCTGATGCATTCGATCTAACTTAAGCTTTCTAATCCACTGGCGAAACATGTTGAATTCAAGAAGGGTACATTTTATAAAGCCGCTGTTTGTGATGAAACCTTCAGTACAAACCAAGAAAAGATTCAAAGTAAGCAAACAATGATTAACAATTATTAAATTTCCAGCTCCGAACATCAAGTTTCTAGTGTTTTGATTGGTTTACTCATTTCCAGTTGTCAGCTCATATTTCGATTCACCTCATACGGGAATGCATTGCACCAACTGTTGCGGAGCTGAAAAGGCTCCTAATATCCAAACGTTCAGGATTTAATGAAATTTAAGCAAACAATTATTTCATACGCGCTCGCTGGATACGAAACTGGTTATAGCCAACTCGGTACTATGCACTTCGTTGGCTATTTACCATCTCATATTCAACAAGCGCTTAAGGAATAATTGTTAATTATTCATAGTAGGAGGTTAATACTGGTCACTGATAATAAGGTTTTTAAATAATTTAGTATACGGAAACAAGAAAATCAGTTTATTTCTCCCTATATATCGAAAATGGTTAGAAATTAAACTCCTGACGCGCAATTTGTCTCTTCAGCTGCTCGGGGGTGAATACAACTGGCTAATCGCTTCAAAACTAGCCAATCAGCGCGCGCAAAAAACCACTATTCGCCTATGTGGTCTATACTGATCAGTGCTGAATAATCAAGATTTCAATCGAGTGGTATAAAAAAGGACTCAAAGTCAATCAGAAGAAAATGGAAAATATTACAAGAAGTCAACGAAAACTTAAAGTTGAAACGAGTGAACAGCGTGAACTTTGGAAATCTCGTGTGAGCAAATCATACTTGGCTCTAGTTTCCAAGCCTGTTGCAGGCTTTCAGCAAGTCAGAAGGATGCTAAATCCGTGCAAAATAGTCAGTGCGATAGTGACGGCAGTGTAAAAACCGAAGGAGGTTTGTTTCGGGTTGGTTCATTGCCTGACCTAATGACGTACCCAGATATTACCGTGTAACTGTCACTGAAATGTACAATCGCTTGGTCATGAAAAGTCTGGGTACAAGACTATACGCGAGCAGACCCAAACCCCTTCGTTTTTTCACTCCTCCGCTTCTATCGAACTGCTTCCTTCCACGCTTCGTTTCACTCACTAAAAGTAAAGAGCAGGCTATAGTGGAGAGAGTAGCGCACGTTTTCTTGACCGATAACAGGGCGTAGTAACGCGAAACCAAAGCATTCTGGGATTATGAACGATATTCAATTGGAAATTGCCGCTTACCTTTGTCGACAAGTCTGCGCTTCATGGCTGGACTCTGAAAGTAATCCTTCAAATGAGGGTCGTGTAGTACATTGTACTGTGGCGGTGAACTATAGGGATCTGTCAGATCAAAATCAGCATCGGCTGGTGTCTCTCGCAGCTGAAATAATAAAGTATATACTTGAATTCCATCAAACTAAAAAATTTTTTGTAATTTTAGTTTTGACAGCTTCTACCATATTCATCATTGTAAGAAATAGCGATGCAACAAAAAGGCAAAGTTCCTTTTTTTCTCTTAAGTAAATACATTGGGTTCGGTTGCGATCATTATTATTATTGTTATATTATGAGCACTACTTCTTTATTATTGCAATTAATATTATTTTTATATCCATTTTGAAATCATCGATGATCCTTGCAATCTGATTGGCTCTCATTGGTGCGATTTTTTTCATCGCACTATTTTTTGTTCGAAATTGCATTTTTTTCCCAATCAATGAGACAGCTTTACAGAGTTTTGAATGTCTACCATAAAGCGAACTTTCCTCTACCCAAAATTCACCCCGGATGAAACAGAAACAAAGAAAATAGATTTTTTTTTTTTGCCACACACAACTTGCTTTGACGCTTTCTTAACTTAACACTGAGCTAACGCCAGATTTTAATTCGAGCTATCTTACAGCCTACATGTCTAGTTCTGGGAACAGTGATGTCCAAGTCCGCTAGTTCTATATAAACTGATACCCTCTTGAAATCAAACATGTTTATTAAACGCGGTTGAAAAGCTTTTATTCATAAAAGCTGCCGTTTCACTCATTGGCATTAACAAACTAGTACTACCCGAAACTTATAGAAAATTCCGTTTTCAGTTCTTTGTTTCTGATTTCTATTTAGTTGAACCCGGTTTAACTTAATACGTTTTGTTCGTGAGATTGGGGTATAATGAAGAAACGATATGAAAGACTCACCTTTTGAGACAGTTTAGTTGTGCAAAATTTTATCGATCGTTCAGAACCAGGAATCAATGGAAATTTTCTGCTTAAGCTCATCAGATCCTCTCGCATGACACACTTTGGTTTGAATTCCAGCACCTTAGAGCTGTCCCCGCTTGCAGCAGAAAACACGTACTCTAGAGCATCCATGATTTTGAGAAGAATTCTAAATTTTGGTTTCTCCTTCTGTTAAATTCTTCACCAAAACAGGTTTCTCACCCGAAAGTACAGTCCGTGACTGAACATTCATGGGATGTCTTTTCAGACTAAACTTTGCGAAAACACTGTACGTCATAGTAAGAAAATTAATGACGAAAGGAGATATCCGCGCGCGGAGACATAAAGCGTTCGAAGAAATTTCCAAATTCGATTTGATTCTAAAAGTTAAAATTCTAGGATTCCCATCTTTTATGAATCTGACTTCCGAAATTCGGCCTTCTTCTGACCTTATCAAAATTTGACTGCATGTCCACGGGGTCAAAGTTTTGCGAAAAAAATTACATCGCGTGTGGCCAAAGTGTACTCTACCACATTCTACCATACATCACACACACAATAAAACAGTTTATTGCAAATGCGCGGGAACATACAATGGACACAAGAGGTCGAAAGATTCTCGAGTCGAGACCCTTTTTTACCCGGGCTGGAAATCTTTTTCAATCGACTCGTGAATTTCGCTTTCTGCGAGAGTGCCATGTTTAAAGTAGCGAACAAAGTATACTATTAAGATCTTATTGACTAGTTGCAATTCTACTTGACAGCGGAATATCATCCTTCTTTAAACTATGATCCAGCAAAATTTGCATGCGGGAAAAAACTAAACACTCTACCAATTTTATTACAGTTCTTGTCCGCAAAATAAATAGAAATATCCGGTATCACAGCAGAAACACTAAGGGCCAGTTATTTACACGAGGTATAACCCAAACCACTGTTTCACGCAGTCAGTGGGCCTCTGGCCCCAAGTCTCTTTAAAACAAGCCTGCGTGCTGCAGGACATGCGTTTCTCCGCCAGCAGGAAGATCTGAGACGCGTGAGGGTCTCGGGAAGAGGTGTGGTGGAGGTCTAGCGCTAAAAATGAGGTTATCAGTGCCAGACCCGTTCAGAGCTCTAGCCGGAGGCCGTAACAAATATTACAAAAAGTATGCTGTGTAACGTGAGCCCAGTTAGGTAAGTCTCTAAATCAAGAAGACTTCAGTCGGTGAAGGTTATCTTTGAAAAGTGAAGAAGGCGTGAGCGTCTTTTTCTCCATCAGCGTGGTCTACCGCCTGTAATGAAATGAAAAACATAAACACGCGCAGAAATGTCTCTTGTCACGCAAGTTTGAAACTCTCACTCGAGTGGTACTCTGGGAGGAAACTAAGCAAGCTATAGCTCCTCGCGATACGAGGAATTGGCGTGAGAGGGGATGGGAGACGGTGAATACTATTTGCATCTTGAAATGGAAGATGACTTTCTAATCAAGTGATAAAATTGCGCCTGTCTGTCTGCCAAGAGTCTGGCGTAGGTCTGTCTATCTAACTGCTCTGTGTTTTTCGCGCATATGTCTGTTAGTCTGCATAGAGTTTGACCCATGTATGTGTTTGGTAGCTTTTCTAGACTCTGACCCATGCCTTTCTGTCCGTCTGCATGGAGTTTGTTGTATGTCTCTCTGTCTATGTGTCCGTCCACCTTGCATAGATCGAATGTCTGTCTGTCTGTCTGTCTGTCCGTATACCCAAGGTCTGTTGAGTGTTGGTCTACCTTGAGTCTGTATGTCTAACTGACTGCATAACTCTGTCTGTGTTTCAGTCTATGTATAGTCTGCTGTACGTCTGGCTTCCGTTCTGTCTGTCCGTCAGTCCACACATCGTCTGAGGTATATCTGTCTGGCTGTCGGTCTGCCTGTGCGTCGGTCTGCCTTGAGTCTGCAGTCTTTTATCTTTTTGTCTTCCTGATATTTTCTCAACATACCTTGCATCCAGCACTCACAGCCATTGAAGTTATCTTTTTCATGTATTCCTGCATTTGTTCCGGTTTAAGATCCAACATGAACCTACAAGCACACGGAAGGTACACAGCATTACTTCTAATACATTGAAGTCACTCATAACTATAAAACTTTTGATGTAACATACTTACTTAGTTGTTTCAGCGATAATAACAGCTTCGTCAGAAAAAATTTCTTTCACCTCGGGTGTCAGTAAGTGTACCATACTGAAAGTAAAAATACACACACTAACTTATCGGAGTATGCGTAACCATACAAGATGGCGCACTTGTTACTTACAAGAGCCACGTCGCAGTTTCAGAACGTTGAAATGATGTTTTGGCTAGAGTTTCAAATCTACTATTAACAATCCACTTCAATCTTCTCCAATCCTGAAATTCTACATTCTTCCTTGGTTCATTTTCGTCTATCCTACGTTTATCTCTCACACACGGGGCCAATATTTAAAAGTATTTTACAAGTTTAAAATATTTTTTATGGCGTGAAAATTAGCCCATAATATTGAAACGTGACTCTTAGTTAATCCCGTGATCACATACCTGTTTGAAAAATAAATGACGTCAAATAGCTTGTTGTATTTGCTTTTCTTAGAGAGATCCGGAACACAATTCAGCGGCAGAAAAGTGACTTTGACATCAGGACACTCCATGTACCCTGTAAAATGGGAAGAAATATAAGTTACAGAGTTTTATAGGGGAGCAGGACTGGTGCAGAATATAGCCCTTGCCTCTCAACGCTTTTGCTTTGGTTCGATTTGCGAACCTGGCTCACATGGAGGTTGAGTCTGTTATCTGTTTTGCATTCCTGCTCAGTCGAAGTTTTTTCTCTGAATCCTTCAGTTTTCCTTCCCTCCATCACAAAATACAATCATTCCGAGTTCCTAGTCAACTGGACCACTGTTCCCGACTGAGTCAGGAGCAGTGGTCCCTTGCCTTTTGCGCTCGTCACCAGTAGCTTAGCAGGGTTTTTGCGAAACGCTCGGGGAGTATTCTAACTCGAAACAACCAAAACAAAAAGAACAGGAGGTCTGTAATAGGAAGTCCTGTAATTCACCTTGCGTCGCATGTACAGTTTCTTTTGGCGTATCTCCGTCTTTCGTATTTCCCATTTGATCCGATTCAATCTCTTCTTCCCTAATTTCCTGTAAAGTAGCCATCTCTTTCTTTCTTTCCTTTTCATCCTCAATTTTTGGCGGGATATATTTTTCTCCTGTTAATATTTCATGCATGAGAGCCGTGATGTTGTATTCAGAGACGTTTGTTGCTGTCTGATACAAAAAAAAAACAGTTAGAAACATAGCATGCCGAGTTTCCCAAAGTATGGGTCTTTTCGGGTCATCACATAGGTAAAAAATTTAGGTAAATTTGCCTCTTTTTTTTCATATTCAACGCTTTCCAGATTGCTATTCGTTGCAGGATGCAGAAAGCTTGTCGCATATGATGCAGTTCATGTCCGCAGTCACCATCAAGTTCTCTAATCTCAGTGGTAGGGCGACAGGATGCGAAATCCGAAGGTCCGACCTACTATTAGCCACGTTTATGAAGATGGCAATGCAACAATGACGATGCACTAAATCATACCGAGCAAACCAAGGTGCGGTAAGATCAGGTAACTTTAATCTGAGTGCCTAAAGTAATCTGGTATTATATTAGTTTTAATCTACTTCGCTCTGTGATTGGTTAGGAAAACTCGCGCCACCCACTAACCAATCAGATGCAAACTAAAACCAATCGCGACTTGGTCACCCACGTTTTCCCGCGCTTTAGGCGGTGACCTTGTTTTAACTTTGAGTTCTCATCGGTTCTTTGCGAAATCTCTCTTAGACCGTTGTATTTTCTTCAGGTTTGGTTTTACGACACTCAGTCGAAACGTTTTCTATCGACACGTAACCATTCAACCTCATCGCCTGACCGTTACAAGCCGAAGGGTCACACTCTACAATTGATATTGACGAACACAGACGTTTTTGACACGCGGTAAATGAACCAAAGTACGAGGAAACTTCAACTAACGCGTTTAAAAATCAAACATCATCTACATAGATTTTAGCGTCTTCAACTAAACTGACCGAGAAAAGAATTCGCAACCTTCGGCTGTTTACCGGGTCTGCGCGACAACCCCGAAAGGTCCTGTGGGTAGTTTTCAGGTCACGATTCCTTGACCTCAGGATTTCAAGAAAATCTGAGAAAACGTCTCTGTAAAGCCACGTAAAATGGGCACATAAATATAAGCGACCCAAGAAGTTCACTTACTCTAACATGCTGTCCATTCGACGTTTGAAAAAGAAATTCCTCTTCACTTTCAGTACCAAAAGCTAAATATGGACTGTTGATTATGTCTCCCCAGTAACCTCTGCGAGCAACTCTCTCTCCATCCTGACACACGAAGAAAGAAAGTAGCATTTTATATATAATAAGCTGAATTATACACAAATGAATAAAGGGGGTAAGTTTCTAAAGAAATTGTGGTGCTGCGTCGGTGGGCGAGTATAACAGGTAATTTAGTGTTAACAACTGAGTTGAAAACGTAAATTGACACCGTAAAGAGTTTGAAGGCTGACGTTTCGAGCGTTAGCCCTTCGTCAGAGCGATTAGAGGAATTGTGGGTTGTGTGTGGGTTTTTTTGGCGCAGAAAATGGAACTATGTTATTGGTGGGAATATAGTGATGAGAAAACAAGAATAAATTAGTTGAATTAAAAGTGCTTTTTTAAATTACCATGAATTATACACACATCTTCATTGGTTATTATTCATGACTATTGGAGGTAAGACGCTTGGATGACGTCACTATTAACAACACTTACCATTTTATCATATAAAGAAAACCGACTCTATGTTGCTGTGGGTCTGTTTAACAAATGGATTTCATGACAGAAGACGTCAAAATATATGGCTCGTGTTCCACTTTTTTTAAATACCTTTTTAATGATGATACCAGAAGCCAAAGTCCTGTTGGTAACTTCATAAGTGGAGTCACTTCGTAACTCAAACGCTACGCCCTGTTCCCGCCAACTCTTGTACTCACGACTATTGATAATTGATGCCTAAAAGCGATATAAAAGAAGCAATATATTTAGATGGCTCGCTCACTTGAGGAATTATGAATTTCCCTTTTCCCCTTCCCGAGGAGTTGACTTGTTTTTACTTTGAGTTCCAATTGGGCCAGGTAAATTTTAAAATTTTTTCTGGTGAGTGATTATCTTGTTTATGGTTCCATTAAAAGTTCCATATCACGTGTACCAATGAGAACTCAGAGAAGAAACAAGCAAGTTGTCTGAAACGCGGGAAAACGCAATTGACTTAGCTGCGATCGGTTTTAAGTTTTGAATCTGATTGGTTGCGAGAATGGCGCAAGTTGTCTGGACCAATTACGAGAAAAACAAAGTCAAAGCAATTTTGCTTGACGCAGAAAATGCCTCAAAATTTAGCGACATCAGTTTTAGCCTCAAAGGCACTTCTGAAAATTCGACACATCCAGGTATTAAGCCAATGGCACCAATGAATTGCACAGTCGAGCCAAACACACTTTCCTCTCATGGAAAGAGGAATTGTGCAGTGAAAGTAGTAACCACTAAATTGTCCCAGCTAGCAATGTCACTCAATTTACCTTTTTGGACAATTTCATACTGTAGTCCCAGTCATAAATATTCTCCCTAGAGTCATAGCGAACAGCGAGGTACTGCCTCAACCTCTCATCCCTACACAAAAAAATCATTAAATAACATCAGATCATCATAAAATGCTGTGAGAGAAAGTACTATTGAAATTATCCAGAGGATGGCAAAACTTTTGTTTTCAGTGAGTTATGACTGTCATTTCTGTTGAATGATAAGATAAGATCTGTTTTAAGTTTTATATTTCAATGAGACACAACCCTTGATGACTCAACAGAAAAATGTCTTAGAGATCTTAAACCTTCCAACTTCAGGGTCCTATACTCAACCACTACATTAACGACAGAGAGTTTTTTGGCAAAGTAGGTAATTTTCTAGGTTCACATTTGCCAAGCACAGGACATATTGAAATATTCTCAAATATTTCCAAAGGACAATTTTCTCTTCCTTCCCCTATCCTTTGATAAATCCTTTTGTATTCATGCATGACACACGTAATTTTTCCAACATGAGCCAATCACATCCTCTTCTTCAAAAAAATGATTTTCCTTTTTTTACTGCTAGGATACGCAATTTCAAAAACATTTTAAGAAAACAGGATAAGAAAGATGGTTTAGGTCATCAAATATGGAGAGCTGTTATTCTTTTTGTCATAAGCCTGGCAAAGAGGAAAGGGAGCAACAGCAATTGAAAATTTATCAGCAATTATGCAAAAGCAGATGCTGTGCAGGTTTTTTTCTTTCAATATTTCACCCTAAATCAAAGAGTAAAAATGTAAAAGAAATTGCAGCCAAAACCCTACCAGTGTCTGCAGATGTCAAATATTTTGGGATCTGAATTTCTCCAGAATTTAAATATGCTCTCCAGCTGATCTCTTTCTTTAAACTAGCCAACATAATCAAAAAATAGTTTTAATACAAATGTTTTACATTACGACCACATATATTTTTACTAGTTAGTGACTTAGAGTGATTTTTTAACTTAGGTAACCATTCTGCATTTTGTAAAGTAGAAAATCTTGCAGCAGATAAATTAACAGTAAAACATTAATACCAATAAATTTCCCAAGCCCAAAATATATAAAATTCCTCTCAGTAGAGTCTGGAAAATTATTTCTCTCTGAAAGTGCAAGTAACTCTCATCAAATCTATCCAAATAAAGAGCACACAATCTTCTACAAACAAAGGACAAAGGAACAAAAAATTCCTGTTAAATGTAAGGAGAACAAAAAATGCAAAGGAGCTTTGAGCACCATACAGATGCATCTCACCAAAAATCTGCCATAAACCCAGCAAATTTGATTGTGGTTTGTCTCAGTTACTCTGAGTCATATCAGGTGTGGACTGTGCTCATAATGTTGATCATAGGCTGAAATTTTTATCTTCTGGCCACCAGCAATAGTAAGTTGGCTGCCATGAAACACCAAAACAGAGGTATTGTGGGAAGTTTAGTGGCATACGAGAGAGCCACATTTAACAGAAGAAAAGTACCACTTTTTGGGTCTACAGTATTGTCATACAGCGACTCAAATGATTACAGTCTTAAGATAGAATAAAATTATTTTGATAGCAACCTTCAGCTGTGAAAAGTTGAACACTGGAAGGTGAGCTTCAAGGTAATCAGAATCCGTGACCATCCTGGAAGAAAAGAAATACGGTAAAACCCAACAGCTTACAACTCTAACACAATGTAATTGTATAATTTTGTTGTTACTCTTCTTTTAATTATATTATGCAAATATTTTAAGGTTTTTTCTATTGCTTCTTTTCAGTTAATTTCAAGGGAATTTAAATCATCATTATGATCCAACAAAGCAAAGTATAGTTACCTGATAAATTCAGATGACTTTTGCTGCAAGTACTCACTGGCTTGTGGTCTCACAAGACTGTTCCCAAACAGCTCAAGAAACAACTCTGTCTTTTCTAAAATAAAAGGAAATTGTTACAGTCTTTAAAAGGATATAAATATTTCTACCAATTAGTTGAATAGAAGGTAAAAAAAACTGCATTTCAGTGCCTCAATATATACCATCCCACAGAGTAAGTTATCACTTTGCAACTACAGAAGTTCCAAAAACTGTACATGAAAAAACACTCTTTTACTAAATGTACCTTTCTGATCAACCTTGAAGAGAACTTAATGGTACCTGGTTGAAAATCGAGGGGTTCAAAAGATTTGTTCTGATCTCAGCATCTACGAAGTCTTCTTGAAGAACTCATGAAGTTTCAATGTTGAAAATCTCTTTTTATTTCATTTTCAAACTTTGAATTATGAGTAACAGTATTGAATGTAAAACAATAGGTAACAGGTCACAGATTTTTGTCTATTCAGACACAACTTTAATCAATAACCATCAGAAAAACAAACGAAAATGAGAACAGGCAAGTCTAACATGACAGAAGAATTCAATCCCCAGCTCAGTCTCCTCTATTTCACATTTTTCCACATCAGTCAACTTTTAAGTTATCACAACAGCCAAGGGCTCAGAACAGGCTACTGTATATTGTAACAAAATTGTGATCCACAGCTCACCTTGCAAGCCAAGTCTTTCTTTTGGTTCCAGTGCAATGGACAAAAGCAAAAGATGTCTTGCATAAATCTCAAGATTATTCTCAACAACACAGATCTGTTGAGTAAAACAATTGGTATAGAAAGAGGTTAGGATGTTGAACTTCAAAGAATTTTCATGCTTGAAATGCAAGCACAAAAGTTAAGTTGTGGATGAAATTACAAGCAGATAATGAAATATAATCTCTCTGTGATCAAAACATGGAAGAAATAATTTATCAAACTCACACAAAGTTCTCTCCTCTCATGTCTGTAGGTATGTGCAATGGTCTTTAGAATGTGTCGACAATCACCTGCTCCTATCAGAAGGATATTACATTTTCCTAGCAAAAAAAAATCAAAACTTTGGAGAAATTAATAACTAAGGTGACCTTGTGTGTTAACCACTTCTGGCAGGGTTAAGCCCTTTAACCCCTTGGGGTGACTGACATCTTATTTCTCCTTACATTATCACCCTTAGATCAAACATAAAAGTCCAGAGAATTAAGGAAACAATCACCAATTTAGGAAGCTCCTGATTGTTAAAAAAATTCTCCTTGCCAGTACCATAAAGATGTCGAGAGATCAGTGCAGAGAATGTGAACACTAATGTTAAGGTTAAGAAAAAGAAACAACAACAATAACAATGAATAATGAGAATTTAAAATGCATCGTTGAAATCATTTAAAAATAAAGTGCTGAATAACAACAACAGATTCCAAACAACTAGTTCCATCATGCCTCCTGAACGTAGACTGCTACTTACCTCGTTTTTTGGCACCATTTGACTCTGAGATGTTCAAATTTTTAATCTTGGAAGCTAAAGCTGTGGGATAGAAAAATATAAATAGAATTAACTACGGACAGAAACTGTCACCATTTTTTCCCCTTGACAACCCTGAAAACAGAACCAAGTTGACAAAGAATAACCTTTCTTTCTTTCCGAGTTTGACCGCTCAAGATCATGTATCAAGCTGACCTGGTGTAGTAAACAAAATTCTGTTGGTCGTCATTATCAAGTTTTTTAAAGTTAATTCTCCAATCGTATTTGTAAGAAATAAACAGGAACCGGGCAGAAGAGATAACCTTATTCGTATGATTATCAGCTGGAGCATAACTTACACTGATATCTGTCCTGCAGATCAAGAGCTGGGCTAAATCCCCACCACGTAATTGCACCAAATCCGTCAGCCATGGAAGCGTCAAATTAAAGAAGCACTTTATACACTTTCAAAATCTGCAAGACAGTCCGCCATTTTTCGTTTGTCCGATAAGGGATTGGGTTCCGTGTTATTACTCCAGTCCACTCCCGTAATCACGCTTATACCGGTTTCCAAGATGGCTGCCGTGGCGAGGAACATCAGTCCTCGATATTTACGACAATTTGCCGTGGTAAGAGGTTGAGCTGATAGTAAAGTTACTTTGGCAAGACAATATTATGTTATAATTTATTCTCCTGTGGTTTTCATCGTTTGTAAACGCAAAGTACTTTTATTTTTACATGCCGCACATAGAGTATATTAGTACAATTCATATTAGGCTACCGTCAGTAGTGATGAATACCAAGTTACTTCTATCTAATTACGTTTTGTTATTTTTCAGCGGATTCCAACAGCAATGTGGAGGTTGACATCCAGCAGCTCAGCATCTGATGACGGCGATTCCGTCAACACGGCCAGTTCTAGTTCACCAACAGGTGTGAAAATTCTTTAACACAAGAAAGTAACTTGGTTTACTAATTTCTTTCGTCCAGTCTAGCTGTGGCTGGTATAGTAGCCAGGTGATTGACTGTTCGTCTGCCAGTCTGTTTTTCTGTCTGTTTATCTGACCACCCTAGTGGGACTGACTGAATCACTCTCTGACTGTCCCTCTTACCAATTGTCTATTAACTAGCTTACCAGCTGACAGACTGTATGAGTGACTGGCTCACAGATGGACTTATTAGTTAATGAATTAACTGATTTGATTGATTGGCCAACTGAATGACTGAGCAATTAACTCGTTAATTTACTGACTGACTGACTGATGAAGCTATCGAATCCTAGATTGATTAACTAACTGACTGAGAGATTGATTTATTGATTGACTGACTGACTGACTGACTGAGCAATGAACTCATTGATTAGTGGACTTACTGACTGACTGAGAGACCATCTCATTTACTTTTTACTAACTGACTTGCAGACTGACTGATTGATTGCCTCTCAGACTGACTGTTAGACTGTGTGACTGCCTGATCCAGTGAAAGACTGCTTGCTTTCCTGACAAACTAACTGACTGACTGACTTTCTGACAGACCAACTGAGTGATTGGCTGACTTACTAACTGACTGAAAGACAGAAAGCTAACTTATTGATTGATTGCTCAAATAATTAACACACTCACCAGCCAACTGACTGGCTGACTGACATACCTATTGGCTGAATGACTGATTTTATGATTTAACCAGACTTTCATATTTTTTAGTCTATTGTTTTAGGGAATAATTTCCATATTACAATCCTTTTGTTGGCAGAAAACAAAGAAGAGGTCAGCGACATAAGCACATACAAAGTGAAGGAATACTATTCATACAATGAATACTCTTTCTATGATTTGGAGAATGTCATTGATGCTACTGGAAAGAGGCAAATCCAGCCAAATCCTATGGAGAAGTACGCTCACACTGACCCTTGGACGACATAGGACATGGTTACAGTTGGTGCAACTCTTGAAAATACTGTTGTTTCTTCTTAATCTTTCTCAAAAGTATGCTTACAAAATGATGTTCTTAGTTGCTTTTCCATGGCACAAATACTTCAAATGTTGAGATGTAGCTCATTTAAGGGGATCATAATTACTTGTTGGATAAATTTAAAACATTCACCAACATGGCATTTTTGAAAGTGACTTTATGAAAGCTATAATTATTTCCTTGTTAATGAAACTCATGTTTGTCTTTTCAGGAGACAAAATGAATTCTCTGACTGAGTGAATGCTAACTTTAGTTTTGTGGTAGTCACTAGTAGTAGTCTTTTTTTTTTCTAATATATTGGGATAACTACGATAAAACTCATCATTTGTACAAAAAAAATATTCCCAACAGATCAGAATTGTTTTCAGGATTTGTAGTGCTGGTGTACTTCTCAGTAAAAATTTACAATAAATGAATCTGAGGAGGTGCGTGATTGTGGAGTTGTTGTTATCCCCTACCTTGAAAAAGAGAATGTGTCTGATATAGTATTTTCCATTAATATAAGTACTTATGAAGCTGAAATTGAGTGCCTCATCAAATATTCTTTACAGAGTGTAAACAGGCAAATCAATTGTGGAAACATTTATTTAATTCATACTTCAGTTTCTCTTTGATAACAATGGTCAACTTTGCAATCACGTGGTCAATGAAACTGTAACATTAAAACTGAGAAATCTCTGGCAGATTTACTATTCAAATAAAGGAGATGCAGTGTAACATATATCTGATTTTCAGCTATATTTGTTTCATAAAACTTGCATGGGTTGTGACATCCTCACAATTCAAATCATTATTTAGTTAATGAAAGCCTTTGCAAAACGCCACAAAGTTGTTTTGAATTTTCATTAATATGTCAGTAAATCGTACAAAATTAGTTATAAACTTTTGAAATTACAATGACACCACTGATCGGCCGAAAAATACTTCAATTCAAACATGTATCACTAAAGTGTGATTTAAAAGTTGTGAAATGCCATTAAGCCCATAAATTTTTAACTGAATTTTGCCATCACATTAATGATGTTTCATTAGAAATGAGCTCAACAAAACTTTTATAACCGGAACTCGCCAAATTCGTTATCTTAATAAATTTCTGCATCAACAAATTTGGTTTCAAAACGCAGTGAATCACTCAAAAAATCACACACAGATTCAAATTTGACGTCAAGATGCCTCGCATCAGTTCACTTGCTTGCCATGTCCATGAGTATTTGTGCGGCTGCGTGGAGCCCTCGGCACTGGAATTCAGGTTCCCATAGATTCGGTGTAAGCGCAACTACAGGTGGAGCTAGGTACTGGTTACCAACAGTTCCTGTGTAACTGAATACGACAAGTGTCACGTTGGATTTTTTAATTAAACGATATCAGTTTATACTAAAACCGTGGATAGCGTTGAAGGTGCACTCTTACTGGCTTATCCTTTGCTTTTCACCTCCGTTAACTCGCGCGGGATTTGCGCTCATAAATATTGTGATCGTAACTGAACGGTTATTCTGAGGGTAATTTTTACAGCAATGAAACCCAGTAACCACAAGGGCTAGTTTCGAAAACAGCGAAAAAAAAAGATGAAAAACGGAGTGACTTACCTCGTGTGTAAATAAAACAACAAAACAAAATTATTTTATGGAATCTTATGGTCACAGAATTATTCTTTTGGAGCAAGAAGGATTCCTCCTCATGGTTCTTTGCGCTTATTTTGGGGAGGGGAAGGGGGCTGTAGACCCTTATATCAGCTAAGTTTATGCGAAAAAAAGCAAGAAAAGAAAACTGTCCAATGAAAAAGCAACTTGACCTCATGCAGGTCAATGACGCGTGTATATTGTAATAGTTAGTTGATGTGTTGCTCGTGTAATCTTCTAATGATCACCTTCCGGGCCAATCTGTGAGAGTGCCAGCGTTACAAGTCATCTCTGTCCAGTAGTCTGATACATTTGAGCCTGTGAAAATCAAAAGGGAAAGCTCATTCATCGGTTCGACTCTTATTACACCGAAGAAACGAAAATAAGCTCTGATAGTTGCCCACAATTGAAGGTCAAAGCTCACAGTTTGCCTTTCGGAAACATATAAAGTCTGCCAACAATTGAAGGCTTTTGTATATAGGACAGATAACTTATGCTGCATAATGCTAGGCATAATGCTACAGTTGGAGCATCAAGCATAATGCTGACATAACGACTAAATTTCTTAAAAATGATCTCCTTGCTGTTACAGTTCAACGAGAGATAAACTTTATAACCTGCATTGTGTCAACAGTTAGCCTGCTTTTCTAGCTTGTTCGTCAGGAATTTGATCATATTTTGTGTTCTGAACCTCGGTAAGCCTTAAAATCTTGGTTAGTTAAATATGAGGTAGAATCATATACCCTAGATGACATGTTTCTGATTGAACATAACGAAAACTTTTGCTTGAGCATGATTTTCGGCACAATGCCATGTTTTCAGAGACGACGCTCAATAGCACAATGCTCCAATTTTCAAGCATAATTTATCTGACCCTAATTATATATATATATACGCGCCAAATGGAATCTATTGTTTCCATATTTTAATTTTAGTCGGGGTATACTCCGTCGAGTTACGAGTTCCAACCGATACCAATCGCGCTTTAGCGCGGAAATATTTGATGCATTAAAATGCATTAGTTCTGCTGGCAGCGCATGGGAGCAATACTGAGTACTACTAGTTTGGAACTATGATAGCCGGTTCGTTTGAAATTCAGTTTAACCGGGTATTGAAATTTTTAGACTTACCTAAAGATGTAGGCACGTGAATTTGAGTGGCGTGAGGTGGACACGTGCAAAAACTAGCGCACGGAGGGACCGTACCTGGAGTGGACGCCATTGTAGTTGTTAAGATGGGAACTTGCCATGGCTCTGGCAGACTACAACATAAAGGCATTTTCGTCAACATTTGGCCAAAAAACACAGTCTGCGTTTATTTTTTCGACACCACTTTGAAAGTTCCTTCCATGTGGATAAGGCTCTAAAAGGGGGTTACGTACGTCGGTCAGAATAGAATCAAGATTTGTACCTGATTAGTTGATAAACTCACCTTGACCTGTTCCACAAGTGCTTACTCTTGACTTCGTCTTTTCTTTGTGTTTTTCTTTTCCCCCGCATTCTCCTTCGTGTATTAGCAAACCATGTATTGACCTAGTTGAATGTGCAAGAGTACCGTAACAGATCTAGCAAATGAATTTGATACCGGAAAGTCTTGTTTAAAATTACGCTACAGAAAACTATGAAATGTTTTCTTGTCAATTATCTGAACCATTTCAGAACGTCCTCAAAATTCCCACGCATGTTATCCTGAATAATGTAACCCCTGAAGTTCTCAATACTCATAATTTGTGCCAAGAGTTTTTTAGTTGTTGTTTTTTTTTCTTATTCAGGAGTTATCTTTTTCAAGTTAGATACCTGTAAGATCGTAAGGCCTGTGTCATCTGCCAGTGCAGCTTTAGTTTCCCGCGTCGGATACGGACGAGGGTTTTCATCTAGCCAAGCACGAAGCTTAGCAGTGGCTTCCCTGGGTAAAGTCGCTTTTTTCCTTCCGTTCGGGCAGATGTTTTTCGGTGGGAGAAACCTGAGATAGCAAAAGTTTTGAGAGACAGAGGAAATATTTGATGTAATTTACGTTTGCAAACGTAAGTTTGCCAGTGTAATACGTTATCCTTTCAGATAAGATTTTTCTATCCTTTTGCCACGATCGTTTCGTGGGGAAAAATTCATATAAATTCATACAAAACTTTCTGCGACAGAGAATTTTGGAAACACTCTATAAGACAAATTAATTTTTACGTATAACTTATGTCCCCGCAAAAGGTCGAGACCGACCCAAGAGAAATCTAAAGAATAATTCGCGCAAAGGCAGCAAGGATTTTTGTTTGATAATGGTTGAACGGTTAAATTTCTGATAAATTTGCTGAGGAAACACATGAAATTGAAAGAAATTTGAAGACTTTGTCGTGATGTAGTTTTTTAATTTTGATAGAAATAAAGAAAGCGTTGCGAAGCTAAGCATCGATTTTCCCAGATTGAGGCTTTTGATGGAGCAAGAAAAATTCAGATTTTAATTGATTCAAACTACACAGCTCTCGTTCTCTGAAATCTGGTTTTCTTTTCAGTAAATGCACGAGAGAATGCAGATAGTTCAGCCTCGAAAGATTCCCAATTAGGATGTCGGTTCGTGTATCTTTTTAGTGAGTTTAATGTACTTAAACCTGAAGACCCGAAAGAACACAGCCAAATTTTGAAAACCCTACATTACTGTACTCAGTCAATCCCAGTCAATCAGAAACTCAGCCACTGATATCTTAAAAATGAATAAAAGGAAGTTTTTGCTTTTTTTCCCTGCACACTGGCTTAAGTCAACTTATTTCAGAACCATTCAAAGGCGATTTCGCAAGTAAAAGGACGTCAAAATGTCTACTCTTCAGACATTATTTAACTTTTTCGCCAATGGTTGTCACCATTTAAAAGCTTACTGAAACTGTCGACATCTACCTGATTGCAAGCAAAATTGATCAAAGCTATTACAAAATTGATCAAAGCTATTACAACTCTCAAAACCAGAAGATTGCGGCGAAGCGGAGTTATTTCATCGATTTTCTGTTGTTAACTCACCTCTCTCGGATTCTGAAACGAGCTAACGGGGTGAGCGCTTTGTTTCGCTTTTCACCCTCCTGGTAGTAATGTCCCTGGTCCCAATAATGCAGAGCTTTCTTCTGAGTTTCATCACTGAATTCGTTTTCCTACATAAAAATTATAAAATAACATAAAATCATTCAATCGCGTACTAAGTAAAGAAGTTCATTTTCTTACTGATGAGAATTTCAAGCTGCACAGGAACAGGTGACGTACTTTTATCAGCTGAAACATTTCATCTATATCTTTCCTTTGCCAAGCCTGGTCAATCTTTTTAAATATGATTTTCTCGCTCTGTTTGACTTTACCAGGAAATGAGTCCAACCACGTTTGTAACCCGGAGGTTGATTGAGAAGCTGTGTTCTTTGAGCTGTCAGTTTTCAACACTCTCGTAAATGGTAGACAAGGCAAGGTCGGCCACTGTGTTGCAACCGTTGACCCCTCCAACAAGCCTCCTCCATTCTTCAGCAAAATTTTTTTCTTTGTTCTTCTACTCTTGCCTTTTCTCAGTGCTAAAACGTAAGCCATTCTTCCTTAGCAACAGATTTGATATTGGAAACGTATTTCCCTTGTTTCTGTGGAGTCAGAAAGGTCGCTTGTTTAGGAAAGTTACGATTTCTGCTTTGAAACAAACACAGTCGTATCAATTTCTTGTGGTAATGAATCTCGCGCGAGAAAATTAACAGTTCCTGAAATATTTGGAAAAAGTTAGATTATCATTCCTGCTTAAAATGCAGATTAAGTAGCTGAACAAAAACAAGCCGGTTTGCAAATATTCAACACTGCCGCAAAACACGTGCACTACAGCTTCCACGCTGTCAATCAATGTCAAAAACAAAGAAATGATGGAATCGATGAGTTTTAGGAATGCTATCTATCGTTTTCTTCTGTGTGTCACTTTTGTCTTTTGCGCTCGTTACATTTTACCAACAAAGGTTGGAAGAAAAAATCAGCTTGTTGTAATTCCGATTGATCAACTCCAATGTTCATCAAGCAGGTAGGGGATCATTTAACTTTACCCAAGTGACAAACTTTCAAGGATACTTTTAAAAAAAAAAAACCAGTTCTTTTCCTAAGAAATGAAAATAAAAATTCTCAATAAACTATTATCAACAAGAGCGATATCTTAAATTTTCCTTCCAGTTTTCTGGCTATTCACCTTCCGACCTACGTGAATCTTTTTACACGTGCAACAGGAAAAATGTGAGGAATCACTAATTACATTAGGCTAATTTCAAAAACAAAATGAATTAACAAAGAGGCGGAGAAAAGAGGGATGCGTTTGATTTGGTAGGCTTGAGGTAAATGTTGTATCCACCGAAAGGTTGAAAGTTCTACTAGTTCTCTGTTTAAAAAAAGAAACGAAAAAAAATTAACATATTTGACTTTCTAACAGCCGATACCATTTAAATCGAGCGGCTTCTTGAGACGTAGAAAGAAGTGACAGAACAAAACATTTAGAGAGCAAATTTAAAAGAAAGACAAATAGTATGATTCATGGGTAGTCTCTTTCCTGAAATAGTCCATGAAAAACTCTAGATCTCTCTCTGAATTTCCCCCTCTTAATTATAGTCAATCAATTATTTGTCTCATTTATTTGGTAAGCGAGGTTCATTAGATTGAGTTTATTGATATGGACGTATCTTAATTGTATACATTGCTAAAACTTGATATAGGATACAATAAAGTTGTTGTTGTTGAGGAGGTAATAATTTTCCTATCTTTTTTATGAACTTGAGAAAACCCGAGTTTCTTTCAGACCTCCTAGCAAAAAAAAGATCCCTTAGCTTTTCAAACGAAGCAAAATCTCTTCTTCTGCCACCCATTTCGGATTTATGCCCTCGCGAACCGGCGGCTTGTCACCACCCCACTCCCTTACTCTGGAAAGGCCAGGCATCCCTTGCATGCTCAGTAGCCGCGCTTCCACTTCCGTTATGGCGGGCAATGTGCTCTGATTAAGGTAAACTACAGAGAAAAACAATTTCAGTCCTGGAAATTGAAATGTTCGGTCAACAAAACCAGCAGAATAAGCCTGTTGGCATATTTGGAGCTACGCCTCAGCTTGGCCAGAATACGGGAGGGTTCAGTTTTGGTACACCCGCAGGAAGTACTGCCGCTTCGAGTTCAACTTCTTCGTCTGGCGGGTTCGCCTTTGCTGCACCATCACAACAATCAGGTGAAATTTGCGGCGATTCTTCTGGAATGATGCTACTTTTTTGTAACATAAGAAAAATTTCGTTCTTATTTCTTTGGTAGTAGAGTTAGTGAAATATACCGGAATAAATATTCGAATGCTTTATATTAAGTAAAGGCTCACCCATAAACTCAAAGTGTTCTCACGTTGAGTGGAAATTTTGCTGAAATTTTATTCTTCAAAAGGTGACTTTTTGGGTTTTGCAGAAATATGTGTGAGGTTCGAAACAATTGAAATTATTACTGAGAAACAACTTTTTGTGATTTTCTGTTAAGGAGGTGGATAATTGAGACGAAAAGGAAAAAAATTTAAGTTTTTAAACTTAACGAGTTGTACATACAATGATCGTACAATGATATTCTTATTGACTGATTTACGTCTGTCTGGAGAGGAAAAATTTGGCTCTTAGAGGAAGTATGGATAATGTTAGGGCAGCAATCCTGAATTCTTTCCCTGTCCAGCCCATCCACTCAGTCACTTAAAACCTTTTAAAATGCCTGTTTCCTTGTGTCTTTCTCTGTCTAGGATTTCAGTTTGGCTCAACTACCACACCATCAGCCATAAAACCTGGCGCCACAGGAGGCCTTACTTTTGGTGAGACACCTAGCACTACAGGAGGTTTCACACTGGGTGGAACACCTACATCTCAGCCAGTGGGATTCAGTTTTGGCACAAAATCAAGTAGCAGTTTTCAGTTTGGTACACCAACAGCAACTGCAGCAACAACACAACAACCTGGGGGGTTTGCATTAAATTCTTCTTCAACAACTGGAATTTCCTTTGGTACACCTGCCACATCTTCTGGTCAAGCAGCTAGTGGTCGGTTTAGGTTGGGTGGAGCAGGTAAGCTTTTTTCTTGGAAAGTAGGGGTATAACAACTATTATATAATACGCTCAGTTATGCACGCATTCTGATTGGTTCTCACTTATGATCTATTGGAGGACAGACATATAGATGACGTCATCATTAAAACTTTTTTTAATTCTGTATTATATAAAACAACTAGATTCCAAGTTGCCATGCATCTGTTCAGTAATAGATCACAGAGGAACAGACGCACGGCAACTTGGAATCTATTTGTTAGGTGGAATAAGTTGAACAAGATTTAGTGATTAATCACTGACAAGAAAACTGCTAAATTTCTAAAGCAAGAGAAGGGGCACATCACTGATCTGCAAGACAGAAACAAATCACAATATATTACAACAGCCAAATTTCAATAAAAAACTGTTTTGTTATGTATTTCCCAAGCTTGCCTTGAGTATGGCTTGAAGTCCTGGCCCTCTTTCACAGAAGGATTTCCAACTGCACTTCAAGAATTACATTGATATAATAACATTTTGTTGAGTACTTGTGAAAAATTTGTTCTAGCAGGAATTCTGTTAAACCTAGTCATTAAAATCATTCTCTTTTCATAACTGGCTTTTCTACTTTTCCACTTCTTTTAAGTTTTATAGAGTAAAATGTGTATAAGTATTTTCCAACTCAGCGTAAATATGTTATCACGGTTTAAAATGGATATTGATTTTGTCCTTTCATTTCAGGATCAGGCTTTTCATTCAGCAGCCCTGCACCAGCAACCACATCTGCAACAGGAGGCCTCTCCCTGGGTTCTACATCCACTGCTGCTTCCTCTCAATTAACTGGGGGCCTTACCTTTGGAAAACCAGTTGCTACAAGCACAGGGTTCAGCTTTGGTCAGTCCTCGGGCTTGACATTTGGCACTCCAAACACTCAACAAAGTGGACTGATAACAGGTGGTGGAGCACCAGTAGGGCTTACACAGGGGACAAACAAAACTACAGCACCCACAACAGCGACTCCGACTGTGGGTATTTCACTTGGAGTTAATGTGTCTTCTGCTCAGTCAGGACTGTCTTTTGGGGCAGTCACTGCAACAGCATCTACTAGTAACCCTAGCACTCTACCTACGCTTGGGGCTACTGCCCCAGCAACTACCACTGGTGGATTTTCTCTTGGAAACAACCTCAAATTAGGTGGCACTGCAGCTGCCCCAGTTAGTACTGGGTTGTCTTTCAATCTACCATCTGCAACACGTACTTCAGCAACACCAAGTTCAGGGTCATCATTTGGATTAACTACAACCGCAGCACCTAGCACAGCCAGCAGTTCAGTCTCCACAGTTCCCACTCTGAGTACAAAGCTTTCAGGAATAGGCACAACTGCTGTTACGACTGCTTCAGGGTTACCTGCATCCGGACCATCAGGACTAAAATTTAGCACTCTGCAAACAACATCATTATCAACTGCGACAACGACAGGTCAGTTTTGTGACAATGCATTAATTGATTAATAATTGTGTTTGGGTTCACTCTAGAGATGTGACATTTAAAGTCGTACTTCTAAATGCAAAACTGGAAGTAGATTTTTTTTGCTATAGAACAACATAATTGTCCATTTAAGTAACATTTTTCACTCACACACTCTGATTTCTGATATAATTTTTTATGTATATATTTTTAGTGGCTTCAGCACCTGGAACCATAGCTAGCACAGCAAGGTGAATATTTTTTTGTTTCCTCAAATATTCCAAAGTGATCTGTTTTTTATATTAAATATGTGTTTTTTATATTAAATATGTGGAACAATCTTTGAACCCTTTAGCTTCCAGAATTGATTAACATATAAATTCTCCCTATAATATCCATACATTATCCAGCAAACAGGTAATGATAGTTTTCAGGTCATTTTGGAACTTGGTAACTTTTCAGTGGTGTTTGGAAGTAATAAGCTCATCTGTCTTCAGCGCAGTTTTTATATTTTCATCTACAAAAAAGTTCTTCATGCTTTACGATCCTCTCTTCTCCTTCCTTGTTTCCTCAATTCTTTCTCAGTGATCCTGGATCCTTGATTCTCAATTCTCAATTCTTGTTAGTTTTAAGGAGACTGTGCTATATAAGCAGTACTAGTGTAGTTTGATCATCCAGGTGAGTGTAGTCCTGAGAAGGACTGTTGTTGGTAGTGGTGACTGACATTTCTACAACCTGCGTGGAAGTCATCATCAGAGTCAAGTGAAAGATTGTTGTCGGTTGAATGTACTTTGTCTGGTTTGTGTACATTGATTGGTCAGTTTTGCTGTGATGTTATTGGCTGTAAGACTCAAGTGGTGTAGGTCTGTCGTGATTGGTTGGTTTGGATCTGTTGTTCAAACTACACTATTACATGTTACCACTGGGTTCAAACCTTTTACTGTAAAAGCAGTACTGTTAGCTTCACAGCAGCTGCACAATTTTACTGTGAAATAGCTATGAGAGAAAGATTGCAACAAAAAATTAAATGAACTCTATCCAACCCCTAAATCACTTTATTTAGTTTTACTTTTTAACTAGATGTCAGGAAATATTATTATTTTTCTCAATAGCTCCTCTGCACCTGGAGCTGGAGCTCCTAGCAATGTACCACAATTGACTTATAAACAGCTTGAAGAACTCATTAACAAGGTAAATACTGGACTCAACCTTGGTAGATTACTATGTTTCAATTATGTTGCATTTCATTTCTTTGCAATCAGATCCCTTTACAGAGATTGTAGAATTTTATAGAATTTTCTCTGCTTCCAAAAAGCAGTATTGTAGCCCAACTGGAAGAAGATGGTGATAAGAACTTGAAAGGCTTCTGTTTGAATCATTTAACCCTTTAACTCCCAAGATCTCATTAGTAATTCTCCTTACTGTCTGCCATACAATTCATATGATTCTAATTTGGAGAATTTGGTATTGGATCAACCAATAATCCCCTAATTGATATTTTTCTTTATTCTCATTACTTGTCTGCTTGATATTGTACTGATAGTGTAAGGAGAAATTCTGTCTGGGTCACTAGTGGGACATAAAGGGTTAAAAGGCTGAAATTTTTTCCAAGCTTCACTTTCAACAATTTTTTAAATTTTAGTTTTCCTATAAGGATCAGTTTGCCTTGTATCTCCATCTGCAGGACAAAAGATAATTATTTCACTGTAACATCAACAGGTATCCTTTGGTTAAAATTTTTTTGTATAGAAAGCAAAGCTTTCAGGTTTCATTCTCAAGCCTCTAAAACAAAGAGTTATTTCATTTGTTCTATTTTGTTCTGGTTGTTTGTCAATAGTTCCTAGTGAAATAGTTGTTTTTATATTAATGAGGGTGGTGTAGATTACTGTTTGCCCACTAATTTAAACCAGATATCTCAATTGCGTTTTCATATAATTTATATATATATTGAAATTTTTTTTAGTGGGCTTTGGAACTAGCAGACTATGAAAAAACGTTTTTGGATCAGGCAGCACAAGTGAATTCATGGGATAGGCTTCTTATGGAAAATGGAGAAAAGGTGAAAATGATACACATACACTGTAGTAGTTTATCTCACAAAACTATTAGACAAGAGATGCGATTACTACAGCATTGCTTTAAATGGGTCTCTCTACAGGACTCTAAATTCCGAGAACTCTATGTAACAGACTGTGAAAGAGATGTTTCAGTTAGCATAATGGTAAAGTCTGCCATTAGCCATTTACACCCTAACATCGGTATGCAAGTTCTCCATACTGTTCTTTATACATTTCCTATGGAGCTTGCAAGGAGATCTTGTCTAACAATCAAGAGCTTTTTGAGTTTCTGAACATTTCCTTTATTTTCATGAACTTAATGTTCAATTTAGGGGTGATACTATTGGGAAAAATTAGATGCTTTTAACAGGTTAAGCCCTGGGTTGTCATCATGGTGTTTCTCAGATGAGATAGTTAATTCTTGTAGTGTCTGACTGTTAGTCCATTTAACAAATTGTCAAGAGGGCATCCCACGAAGAGGAATTAGCAAAGATGTCACAAGCTATTGGTTTGTTATGTTAGTGGGGTAATTGTCTGTCTGGTGAACACCATAACTTGAAATGACTATGATACGATTGTGTATTCAAATGTTATGTGTCTGACATTTTAGATCACTGAGCTTAATGCTGGTGTGGAGAATGTTAAAGCAGAACAAAAAAGGTAAACATTGGCAAAAGAATGTAAGTTGCAAGGTGTTCTCCTTTTCAAGCAGTAACTGGTAAAATTTACAGCATGTAGCACTGGTTATCTCTTTTTACAGCCTAAAATTGCTTGGAATTCTTAAAAATTGAACAAGTAAAAGGATTGATCAACCAGTTTGAATATTTCTTTTACCTGTTGTGCTTAAATAAGTGAGAACACTTGTTACTAGTATGCTGTCTGTAAGGCTGAGGTATTGCAGACTTTAAGGAAGTGAGTATGTAGTTTTCACACATTAATTGGACAACCAGCAGAAAATGTCCTCTTACTGATGAAAGTTACATTCTGAAAGGATTGTAGGATGAAAACTTATTGAAACTCGTGGATATTATAGCTTTGCTTCAAAGATCCAATTTCACTTTACAACTCATTAAAATCTCAAGGGTTTGATGGAGAATAAGTTGGAAGAGGCAGTGGTTCAAAACAAGCCTTAGAGGGATTCAGTCAGTAGTCAATGCAAAGTATCTGGTTATTAACCTGTAATATCCAAAATGTGATTATTGATAAGTATCTACAGCATTATTCAGCCAGTAGGTAACAAGTAAACACAAATTCTGGAAATAATCACCAGAATATTAAATGTATTGTTAGACTTGATCAAGAGTTGGACTTTATTATGGCCCAACAACAAGAACTGGAGGAAATGTTGAAGCCATTGGAAGATGCTGTAAGTTCAAGCAACTCAGGCAGCAGGCAACTCCAGCAGGCTGATAAGGAGAGGGACTTCACGTAAGTAGAACACAGTTTATAACTTACAGTGTTTTTATCAACGGATGGGGTGGAGAACATGAAATGTACTGGAATGAAACCTGGCAGTTCTTCAAGATGTGGTTTGGAAAAAAAATTGGAGTACTGAATTTGAGGCTTTAGTCAGTAGCTTGGTGACTTACCTTTGGCAGCCACTGAAGGATTGGCATGAACTTGTGACAACATTACTTGTAACATGATCTGTGCAAATTCTTCTCAATCAGGTACAAATTGGCTAAAGATGTTGATGGACAGTTAAAGCAAATGGTGCAAGATCTCAAATCAATCATTGAACATCTTAATACTGCAAATACTCAGCAACAGGACTCAGATGACCCTGTAAGTGATTGCTGTATAATAATTAACAAAAATAAAAAACAGCACTTTGTCTCTACACTCCCTCTTCTATTGTGGTTTTTGACTCTTTGTTTGTGTTTAGATTGCACAGATTGCCAAGATTTTGAATGCACACATGAATTCACTACAGTGGATAGATCAAAATTCAGGTGAGCCACAAAGAGATTGGGAACCATCCTTCTTAGCAGTTAATGCTAAGGAGAGGGTGGGTGGGGGCAGTCTAAATTCTTGAATTCAAAGGCCATAATCAACCATCAGTCTCACTGCTTGGTAAATACATTTTAGTTTTTTTTTGTTTTTTTGTGAAGGATTATCGTAATGGTAATTTGCCTGGAACAAAGTAGAATACTAGTTTAGATCTTGCTGACCTGTGTTCTTCTTTTTTTTCTTGTGAGGGACTGAGTTTTGTTTTCTCTGATTGATTTACTGTTTGACTGATTGATAAACTTAATCACTTCACTGATGGTTAATCAACTGACTAACAAACCAATTTTTATGTAACTCATCAATTAATGGTATTTTCCCAGAGTTTTTCTTTCTCAGGTGCCAAAAGTCATTTTGAAGTGTTGGGTGGAAGTTATGAATTACCCATAATAAGCTTCTTTTTCCTGTAGGAATCCTTCAGAGAAAGGTTGAAGAGATTTCTCGCCTCAGTGAAACAAGGAGAAAAGAACAGGAAAGAAACTTTAGATTGGTGAGTTTTTGGCAAAAGGGTATTCTTTTCCTGGAGAGTACAGATTTAGACAATTTTTTTTTTTTGCACGTCCCCAATAAAAGAGATCTAGTCTAATTCTGGAGAGCACAGTTTGTCTCAATGGCACCTCTGGGATAGTACCCCTACCATCAAGGGCAGGTTTAGAGTTTGTATGTTTAGAGTTTTGTTATGAACAGAGCATTGTGTAAGAATAAATTCTACATTTGACTCTTCAAAAATGATTCTAAAACAACCCTCTTGTAAAGGAATGTCAATGTCTGTGGATTTCATGGTTGCAAGCCTGTGTTTCCTTGACAAATGGATCATCATATTGGTTTTCTATCTCTCTTTCTTGCAGGCATTTGATTGATAATTTCATAACTTCTCAACTCTTCCAATACAAGTTGTACAACATATCAGCTATTGTAATGTATAGTGTTTAACTTTACACTGCTGTCGGCATAATGGGTCATTTTAGGTATGAGATGGAAAAATGAGCTGGGAACCTGTGAGAAGAAAAATTGATGAGTGTCTTGTCTTGTAGCTTTACCTTGTGGTTTCACAGTTTTCCTGTCTCTCTATATATTTTGAAGATTCCTACCATCCTTACCATAAGCTAGGCAAGCATAATAGTAGAACTGTCATATGGTGTTAGTATCCTAACAAGTCAGTAGATTACAAGGCTTCAACTATTCTTTTTTAATAGATTAAACAGTCAACTTTTGTTGCCAGTCAACTCATTGTTGCCTTTGAATTCATTGTGACCTTTATAATTAACAGGGGCTGATTCTTACTTCCTGCCCTCCCTGTGGCTCTTGTGTTGCAAGAGTTTCCCTTGCACAATGTTAGGCTTTGGCAATTGGAAATTTGAATGTGACAATGTCAGGACCTCCCTTGCCTAGACAAATGGACCTCATAAGCAATCTTTAGTTTAAGTGGGGTAACCAACCTCATTCCTAGGACTTTTCTCATCTTCTTCCAATTTTTAAGCCAAAAGCCCCAGGAATGAAGTTGACCATTACTGAAAGATGTTCCCTCTTGGTTAACTGTGATGTGTAAGATGGTAGTGGATAGACCACAATTGCTTCTAAATCCCGGCCTTGTTCCCTTCTTGCGTTTTTGATTCCCATCCTTGTGAGCCAGATCTCATTTTCTCGGGAACAAAAATAGCTTAAGTCCAGTTCCCATTTTCCCAAGCTTGTGTGGCTAGCGGTTTCTTGGACGCTCGATGAAAAATGAAGTCGGCAGAGCTCCAAAAACGAGGAGCGGAGGTGTGGCTGTGACACCCCTCTCGTTTTCTTCCATATCTCTCCCGGAGTTGCGCTTTCGCCGCTCGTTTTCACAGTTGCGCTTGCTTGACGCTTTAAACCCATCAATTACGCAAGCAAAATTTTGCCCATTCCATTTTTCTTTGAAAAACATACACTATACTTAGAAAAGTAGGAAAGAATTCTAACTACAGTTGTTGAAATCTTGTATTGTACTGCCGCTATTTTTACCCACTCCCTCCCCTTAGTGGTTTCCCGCAGGTTATCCCGTATCCCGAACGTTGGGCCATATCCGGCAAAAGTCTGGGTCAGAGTCACAATTTGTTAGCGGAGAAATAGTTGAATATGGAGGAGGACGCCAATCAACCTAAAAAAGGCATTTTGAGGAACAAGTCTGAAGATAAACACCAGTATGTATCGCTTTCAATAACAATTAACCTGTTGATATTTTTGTTACCGAAGGTATTTTTGTCTCCAAGTGATCTATGGCGCGTCAGTAGAATTCCTGACTTACAGCACGCGCGTCCTAAACCTTTACATTTAATTTAATACTAATGCTGTAGTTAACTTTACTACTTTTTCTTTTTCGGTGTTGTAAGGTAACAGTCATCTCCTTGAATGGAGTTTTGATAGGTTTAGATTTACTTGTACTGTTCACACTTTGCTCGAGACTGAAATGAACACAAAATTTGGAATGAACACAGCTGTGCAATGAAGAATATTCCTGTCAACCTGTAATTTAGGCGTGCGATCACAATATTGAACTCAAAACATCTTTTCTTCTGCTCTTCTGTAAGTCTTCTGAGAAATATTTTTCCCTCACAATATTGCATATACCTTGTCGAATTCGATGCAAACTGCTGATTATCCTTGAACGAAATAGCATAGTTCGTGGTTCGCTTCTTTCGCTCGACTTACATGGGAATTCTGGTGTACTCATTTTGCGACGTTGGTTGATAATCGTGAACTAAGGTTTTACTCATTGCTTTGATTATGAAAAAAAAACTTAGATCTCGCCAGTAATTTTCGCTCGCATCCACCTGAAAGTGGAAAAAAAATGAGGTACAAATTTTTATTATTTGTAACAGGAGTCCCTGCATGCATTTAGGGAGCAGATGTGCAGAAATAAGCTCAAAAAGGTTTTTGAAATTTTAATTTATCACCCTGTTTGTGGTATAGGTGTTCCATCGACTCTAATTTTTTATTGCTTGGTGATTTGTTAAATCTACCTTGAAAAGGTGTAGATTAATGAATCTCGGCTGAAATTTTCGGTATTTCTAATGAAGCACTTTTGATATCTTAGTGTAAATTTTGAATTTTATTTTTTCGGTTTGGATCAGAAATCAAACAGAGATACAGCTGAGGGTGAAATACCTACTTTACACGGGCGCAGTGTTAAGATACAACAGAGCTTATAAAATTAGTTTGTATTGTTTGACTTAAGCCTGCCTCTTCTTAATTCTTTCTTATTTGCATGGAAATCTTGAATATGTAAATTGTAAATATACTCTCAAGTGGTGTCTGCAATGCATACTAAATTCGTAAGAGATAATTTTTTTCCTCTATCTTAGTCAGGGAATAAATTTTTAATTTCTCTGATAATGGTGAAGCTAATATGTGGCTTCAAAGCATGTAAACATATCAATTGTTTTGTTTTAGGTGTGACTTTATATACAACTTTTTTCCAATGAAGTGTTTTGATGGAAGTGAATTTATGTTAGAGATTTTCATTTTCTGATTAACATTTGATTACAATCTTTCACTATTTTTCAAATATTTTTGTATATGAAATTACCATAAACAGTTCTGGGAAATTTTTCTCTACTGAGTTCTTACTAAAAAAAAAATTACTACCCACATAAGGATAATAATTTAAATTTTAATCTTGGAATATGGAATTTTGAAATATTGTTTTCATGATAATTTCATCACAACTTGATTGGTGTGCTGAAGATCCTTTCCAATTTTCTTAGAAGTTCCATCACATTCTGTTTCTGTGAAATATTGCTGCTTCCTGTAATTAATGCTAATAGTTAAAACAATGTTTTCCTGTGAGCAACACCTGTTATGTTCACAACTACATCCTGGGTGGCAAAATTTTTAGATTTGGAATTTTAAAAGAGGGTTATGGATTCCTCTGTGCAAAATTAAATTTATGAAAATGAGTAGTAAATACAGAGCGGATGTTATCCAAAGTTAATCCCTATTCATGCAAGAATTTAGTGATCATAATCTTGGATCACATTATGGAAAAGTGTACAATATGTTCTGTGTAGTTCAAATATTGTCAATCATGTTTCATGTGATATCTTTGAATAGTAGATCTGTTTGAAAAAGTGTGAGTAAGGGAAAATTGAATTATAGTTTGTATGTTTTTAAAGGTCAGCAGGTTCAAATTCAAATTAAGTTCTGCTTATGAAAATTGTGGTGTCTAGACTGGGCCAACTTCAATATATTTTGGTTGGAAAATATGGTGTTTTTTGAAGATTGATCTTTACCTTCGGTTTTAGTGATTAGATTAGATGGGAATGTTGGAAACAGAAACTAAGATAAATCTTGGATTTCAACTATTTAATCAATGAGAGGAAGTAAAGATTCTTAAATAAAGAATTATTTCTCACTCTTCCATTTATTTCTTTCTAACCCTAAACTTTTTACCATTTATGTGAACAAGGACACTGATGTAATCGGTAGTAAACAAACTGAAAGTATATATTTGGATAATATGCAATTAATGACTGAACAGGAGTACAAGGTCTGAGGGTCATGACAAGGACTAAATAATATTTTTCCTTCTCCTTGACCAAACTCAGTCAGTAAGTATTTTTACCTTATGACTACTAAGTGTTGAAAATTTTGTTGTAACCTCAATAGGACACAGTTGACAGGTGCATGTGGTACAACCACAAAATAGATTTTACATAAAAATCTTTTACTTTTTCTTTTTTAGTCAGAACAAGAAACTCAAATTTCATTTTCTAATTTTGGTTTTCTTTTAGTGTTGGCAACAAAGCAGGGCCAAATGGCTTTTTCTGGATTGGCTTTTGTCAACCTGTTCATCCTTACATGTGTCTACCCTCACCAAAGTTTTTTCTATGGGATTGTGTATGGGGGGGGAAGAAGGGGGAAGGGGGAGGGGAGGAGAAGAGGGAAGAAGGGGGAGAAGAGGGAAGGAGGGGGGAGAAGAGGGAAGGAGGGGGTTGGTTGTGTTTTTGTGATAAAACCTCTCAAACAGGTTTCATAGCATAGAGGGCACATGGCACATAGCACATAGCCAGTCTGTCTCAGTAGAATTACAGCAGTTAAAATATAGAGAATTAATTTTGAACAATTTCAAATGCTCTTAATTTCAGCTCAGGTATTCATTGGGATGAAATGAATATTTTGATGACACATCATCCCCCAGATAAAGACTATGGCCATATGAAGATCAATGAACCTCCGACGCCATACAGTAAATGGAAAGATCCAGGTGATGATGAAGGTGAAGGGACAGCAGATCCCTTTTCTGATGATGAAGCTGATCCACAAAAGTTAGATCCAGAAAACTTACATGACAGGTAAGTGATGCAGTTAAGGGTTTTAACCCCCAGAAGTGATGAACTTGTAACTTCCCCTTACAATTCCAATATGTTATCTTGCCAACAAGTAGGGAGAGTAAAAAAACTTATTGTATCAGTAAGAGGGCATTATGCTGTTATAACTCTTAAGTCCCCTGTCTGATTTACAAGGAACTGTTTGGCAGTCAGTAGGGAGAAATTCAAATTGGATCTTGCAACTCAAAGACAGAGTTCTCAAAAGATTTTTAAGTAGGAGGTGATCACTGATAAAGTAGGAGGCCTCTTTACCATGTTTCACCGTGAATGCCTGGACTCAAGTAAAATGGTGTTCATCGATCGAATCCAGAACCATAGGCAAGTTTCCCGGTTTTGTTTAGATCACAGTCATGCAAGAAACGGAAGAGAAATTCGGAAACAACTCAAGCAAACTTGCAGAACAAAACAAAGAAAAGAAAAGTGACTTAAACACAAAGTAAGCAGCTATAAATCCCAAAGTAAGCGGCTATAAATCCCAAAGTAAGCAGCGATCAATCACCAGGTGCCACCTTCCATTGAGAACCCTGAAAGGGTTAAGGGTTTTGACCCATGGTTAACAGATGGTGTTGTAGTGTGATTATCCTCTCATGTGTGTGTGATTGCATAGTCCTGAAAAGGACTCTTAGGGAGAAAATTAACTGAATTTTCTGCAATGTGACTAGCACTCCAAAATGTTACAGTCTTGATTGCCATTGCTGATAGACAAAAAATCTTGATGACAAAATGTGTTGTGGTGATAATCTTGCACCCTATAATCAGCAGTCATATAGCAAGCTGCAATTTTTTTTTCTTTAATTTGTTGTTTATGGTCTTAAGATAAATTGGGATAAACATTTGCATGAGAAATTGAGCTTGGAATGAACTGCCTGAGCTAACCACAGATTGGGTAGCTCAGGTTGTAGAGTGTTGGACTGTGTGTGGGAGGTTGACAGTTCAAACCCTTGACCGCAACATTCAGGGTCTTGAAATAACTGAGAAGAACCGGCTGTCTTTGCTATGACATCCGCAAATGCTCGGAAATCCTAGTCTTCTTAGATAAGGATGATAAACCATAGGCCCTGTCTCCTGCATCTTCTCTGTGCTGGTTAGCAAGGGACATAAAGAACCAACACACTTCTTGCAAAGAGTAGAGAAGGTAGCTCCCATTGTTGTGGTCTGGCCTTCTTTCCAAAATGGGGGCACCTACAAAATCTCCTTCTAAAAATTGTAAAATGCTTATTATCAGTCAGGCCAAGTGTTGTAAATTTCAGTAGGGCATGATTATGGATAATACCTCATATCAGTGCTACATTATCATCCGCCCTGGTGAGTAGTAAAAATTAGGCTGTTGTTCCAAGAAAGTCTGTTTTTAGTTGAGACTGTAAATGTGGAAGAGTGTTTAGTGTTTGACAGTGTTGTAACATATACTTCATTGACCAGGATCAAAGATGCTCCAAAGAGAGGCTCCTGGGATGAAAATGCAGACAATGATGATGATGATGATGATGATGATATTGACGAGGATTTATCAGAAAGTCAGAAAGGTGAGAAACATACTCAGTTTGATTGTCATATCTCTCAGTTACTATAAATATGCCCTGTGAGCAGTTAATTTAGCATGTTGTGTTCTACTGCACTGACAGCATGCTAAAATCTGACTCCGGTTTTGTTGGCTAAGTTTCCTGTTTCATCCTCAGTAAGTGAATGGAATTTTAAATCTTTCATTTTCTTTACAATTTGTGTGTGAGTTTGCTGAAGACTGATTTATGATTTCAAACTACCCCACTTTGTTTTGAGCATGTGTCAGGTATTTAAGGCTGCTGCATGGGACTATAAATCATTTCTTAAGTCTTTCAGTCATTTAGTAGACTTGTCGTAAGTATTTACTAACCTCATCTTTTTGCTTGGAATTGTGACTTATGGCCTCTTGTTTTTTCCCATATGATTTATCACCTGGGCTCTGAGGCCTTAAGTTGAATACAGTCTCAGGCTTCTGTGTGCAGGCTATAAATTGTAAGGGCAAATATTTGGGCTGTAACTTTAAGTGTAGACCTCAAACTTGGTTTGTAAGAGGTACATGATAAGTAATAATTTGTTTGTTTCCCTTATCTCTAGAACATAAAAAAGCATTTAAAGACAAGAGAAGGGTACACTATAATGAATATTCTAAAGTTAAACTTGCAAGGAAACTTATAGAGCAAGAGTTAAAAGATCTAGAAGATGACAATGATGGTTCATTAGACTCAGCAAAGGAAGGATCAAGTTCAACAGATGCTTGTGCAGCTGATACTCAGGTGGTCTATTGAGCTTTTAACCATTTAGTCCTTAATTAACCTTTTACACCCCATGATCAGTATCCACATTCTCCATACCCTTCTCAATACATTTTCTTTGGTACTGAGAAGGAGAATTTGTTGAACAATCAAAGTTTTTTAGCTTGGTGATCATTTCCTTCACTCTCATGTTTTTAATGAATGGTTCAGCAGTATTACTGTAAGGAGAAATTAGATACTGGTCACTCTTAGGGTTTAAACGGTTAACAGTGAGCAGCCACTAAGTTCTCCTTGCATCATCACCACTGAATCAAACATTAACCCTTTCACTCACAAGATCTCTTTTATAAGTAATTCTTTTTACTGTCTGTCATACAATTCCTATTTTTTTTTTATATTTTCCTGCTTGCCTTTGGAGTAAGCAGTAAAGTTGACATAGGTTTTTGGAGATTCATGAGATATTAAGTCACCAGAATTTATTCAGTCTCCATGGCAGCTCATTTGACATCTTGAAAAGGGTAACATTCTGGAATGTAAACCTTGATCAGGGCATGAACTTCAATGGATGTGGTTCTAATTATTTACTTTTTTATTAGTCTAATTGTAAGTCAATAAAACAATGATATGTACCTTAGCTTATTCTACCCGCAGTTTTGGAATGTTACTATTTTTCTCTTTTTCTTGTTTTTCAATCTCCTTGACCTGTTTTTACTTTTCCTTTTTTCCAGATGGATGAGACATAGGACCATATTGATTGTTGCTCAAGTCTAAATGACGTAGTCTTGTAATATTGTACAACTAGCAAGAAAATGTTGACAGATTGTAACTGTAAACTGTACAGATAGCAAACAGCAGCAAGAATAAGATTATATGAAAAAAAATATTTGATTGTAGGTATATCATAGCTTAATTTACAGAACAACAGAAGATTCCATGTTTACGAGTGTCTTGGCAGAAATAAAGAAAAATAAGGAAAAACTTGAGGCAAGAATAATTTGTAAGTGTTTGATGCACATTGTACCTTTGATACAAAGTTATAAATTATTGCCCATATAGTAAAAATCTTTTTAGTGGCCTGCACAGGAGGTGCGCTTTTTAACTGGTGTTAGAGGTAAACTTATCCTTGCTTGAGCCAGAAGTCACATCACTGATACAGAAGTCATAGATATGGCTGTTTTTCTCTGTTTAACCTTTTAACTCTCAAGATCTGATTTAGAATTCTCCCATTTAGCTGCAACACATTTCCTTGTGACTTAGTTACAAGAATTAGGTGTTAGATCAAGATAACTGCTTCTATCCCGTAACTTAGTATTTTCATCACATAGCTGTGTACTGGATAATGTATAGATATTGTATAGGGAGAAGTTACATGTTAATCACTACTTCTGGGCATTTAAGGGTTAACATTTTACATGCATTCTCACCAGGCAACAGCTTTGTTAGCTGATTATTCTTAAGATTTACAAAGGGAAATATTTTAATCCTAATTTATTGTGATTCCCTCAAATACAAAACTAAGTTAAATTTTCAGATTAACAGTGCAAAGTTCTGTCAATCCTTATGTTCCCAAGATCTCAAAGTTTCTTTTTGTGACAAACATCACACACTCCTTTAAAAGTCAATCTTTAGAATTTAATGTACTAACAGGAAATTTTATTGTGCACAAAAATTAGAGTTTTTTTCAGAATTATAGATTATAAATGAACTTTTTTTACTTTAGATTTAGAGTGGTTGATTTAACACTTCAACTCTAGCTTTGATTATCATTTTCTTATCTTTTTATGGAAAATGTATTTCTCAAGATGCTTCTTTGCACCTTTGGGAGTGTGAATAACTGAAATGATAAACACAAGCTAACAAAGTTACTTAAAACAATGGAATAGTCCCAAGTTTTTTTTTATTATTGTGACCACCTCCATTTTCTTCGATAAATTCCACAAATTTTTTCAATGCACTTTGTGCTGTGAGGCAGAACGACAGTGATGGTATTAAATAGGCAGTATATTTACTCCATAAACACCTAGCTCCAGTTGTTGGATAATGCTATCCAATGGATAAATTCCCTTCTTCCTCAAAAAAAAAATAACAGGTGAACAAAAGAAAATTAAGTTACTACGTAATGCAAGATCTTTGTGCAAGTTGCAGTATAAAGCTCTGAGACTTCCAGATTGACTACAAAAATAGCACTTAAACCTTCTTTGCACTGAACATCAAATTCAATGTCCACATAGATTAGATGTTAAACAAGATAATTCATAATGGCTCAGTTTTCCGAGATGCATGTGTAAATTGGGTCTTCCTCAAATCAATCAGTTTACATGACCTTTATCCTCAAGTTGACAAAAGTAAACTTTGAGATAACAAATCTCTCCAAAATTTCACTGCCCTCCCTCATAGTGTGATAATTTGTTATTATAAAAGTACAATGCCACAAAATAAATATCTAATCCTCCAGTAGCTATAGAATTTGTAAGATATGACCATGAAACAGCTCAATATTGCCACTATGGACTAAAACCACCTAGTGGAATTATCCATCATAATTTCTTTGCTTACAAGAATTGATTCACTGCCCTCCCTCCTGGTATAATAATTTGTTATTACAAAAGTATAATGCCACAAAATAAATATGAAGTCCTCCAGTAGCTAGAGAATTTGTAAGATATGACCGTGAAATAGCCCAATATTGCCACTACCAACTAAAACCTCTTAGTGGAATTATTCATCATAATTTCTTTGCTTACAAGAATTGATTCTAAATTGTTATATGATAATCTTAATCAGACACATGATTCTCACTTATGATGGAGGACAGATACATAGATGATGTCACCATCAACAACATTTTACTGTTTTATCATGTTGCTGTACGTCTGTATAGTAATAGATTGCAGAAAACATCAAAATACACTAAGAACATTATATTCTCTATACTGTTCTCTATACATTTCCTAAGGTGCTGACAAGGATAGTTAGCTTAATGATTAAAGTTCTCCCCTAACTTGTGCGCTATGCATATAATGTAAAAGTTCAGGTTGTCATTTATTCAGTTTTGCTGCAAATTGATATTAAATATTTTATTGTTGGTAATGGGAGAAAATTAAGACTCAATACCTGCCAAATCTCAAAAGAAAGTGTTCCAATTGATAACTTTTAAAAGTTAACCTCACACATTAAATTTGATTCATTGTTTGTCAGTCTAATGACATGCAAATTGATGAGAATCTTGTCACACATTGCATACTGCTCAATTAAATTACACCTTTCTTTTTTCCAACTTCAATAAAAGCTTCAACACAACGATCAATCTCCTCTGTGCTGTGTGCAGCAGAGATCTGAACCCGAATCCTTGCTTGACCTAGGTATAATATAAATTTAGAACAAAAATGTTATTAATAAACAATAAAAGTTGAAACCAGCCTGACCATAGTCATTTTTTGGGTTGTTTTAAATACATGAAGTGAGCCCACGAGGACAAGCAAGGAAGGTGACAGTTCCTGTGGAGTTTTGACCCAAAAAAATCCTTCTTCTGCCTGACTTGTTTTAACTTTTTATTTTGCCCCCATCCTGGACCATGATTCAGAACAGGCTAAGATCAAATTGTTTTGGTCCTTCAGGCCAAGGGAAGTCACAGAAAGGAAATAATTATTAGACACCATCCACACCCCACTCAGTTCTCAGTCCACTGAATAAGTAGGGGTCCACTCCAGCTTCCATATACTGTGCAGGCTAACTCAAATGATAAAAATTAATAATTTGGTTCAAACTTTGCACTTAATGGTAGCTTAAAGCAAACTATTTAATAAATTAAAAATAAAAAACATTTGATAGATGATTATTAATTCAGGTGAGATTACAACACTAATTTTGTCAGGAACGGCAGTCCTATTGGACAGTGAGGTAGAAAATTTTGCAACATTCAACTTCAGGCTGCCTTACCTTTGGGAACAACAGGAAATGTAAAACCTATCACATAGATACCACGATCTATAAAAATAAAAAAACAAACAGTAAGTTTAATCCAGGTTATTCATTTTATCAATATTTTAATTTACCAATAATTAATACCTGCTACAGATGGAACATTAGGTTAGGCCATCTGTGGAGACAAAAAATACACACCTAACATTTCATCAGCAAACTCTACAGCCAGCCGTGCATCTCCCAACATGACAGGAGTTATTGGATGACCATCCCCCTGTGACAGGTAGATAAAACATCATGGTCACTACATTTTGTCTATATTTACTGGTAATGACCGTCTGTCTGCTTAACAGCATATGATTCTGTGGAGAATTTTGACAATGATCATTCCTGAAAATAAAGGGGCTTATAACCACAAATTACACTCTGGAAACTTATTAACCCAAAAAAATTATCCTTGTCATCACCTTGGGAAGTGTACAGAGAACAGTATGGAGAATATGCAAACTGATGTTAGGGTGTAAACAGCTGGCCTGGAAATGTGTAAATTTGTAAACAAAGAGAGTCCATTTTTACTCTGAACTACCCAGATTAGAAGTCAAAATCTCTCCAGCCAAATATGTATCTAAATGAAATCAAAGTTAATGTACTAGAATCAAGCACATACCAACTGATGAAGAGCATACTTACAATTATGTGAAACCCCGCTGCTGTCATTTTCTTTCGGAATAACTTAGTGTTTTCAGACACTTTTTTGATCAAGTCAGATCCATTCATTAACAGATCAAACACCTGGAAATAGTATTTATTTACTACTCAGTGATATATCATAATTTACTTTAAAATGTCAATAGGAATTGTGTTGGTCTGTCATACAGTAGCCCTTGGTGTTTCAAAAATATAAAACTTCCACTTGATTTACACCACAACTTTTAATAATATAATTATACACAAAAATATTATGAGACTTACAGCAATAAAACATGGTATCACTGATAACAACTATACCGCTAAAAGACAGGGAGGGACTGCACCACATGCTAATGAGTTCTTAAGGAAAACAAATTCAATCACAGAAAAAGAAAAAAAAGGGGGGGGGGGGTGAAAGCTCACCTTGCTGGCCCCACCCACAACTGGAGGGGGCAGAGTGTTGGAGAACAGATAAGGACGGGACTTCTGACGAAGCAAATCAATTAGTTGTTTTGGTCCTGTTGTATAGCCACCTTAAAATTAAATAGAATTTTAATAATAATTTTTTATTTAAATACCCTTCATCTGGACATGTAAAAGTAAGCAAATCTTGTGCACTGAGTCCTGATGATGCACTCATCCTGTAAAGGGTGGATTGTGCTATTCAACAGATAAACCATTATCCAACATACAAGTATGCACTGCATGGATAGAGATTTATCCAATGAATATACGGTTATTCACTCTATCAACATCTGGGGCCTGGAGCAGGGTAAATGCAACTGACTATGGTGTGAATGATTTTTCATCTGATTAATTGATGGGAATTTCCTTGACTAATCAAAGAAGATGAGTGAAGAACTCAATGCAATCTTGGATAAATCTCAACAGGCAATCAAAAACAGCTCTAAACATCTTGCATGGTTGCGTGATCCCTCTCACTCAATTCCATGACTGATATCACTGGCCTGTTTGCCTTAATATGGAAGTCATATATAGCAACAGGATTCCCAATGCGCTTTGAAGAAACCATCTTCCAAAGCTTAAAAGGCACAAGCAACAAATGAAGAAGAAATGCAAAATAGGGCATTTGGGGGAAAACAAATTAAGCAGTCTTTAATCCCAAAGTAGGCAGCCAGGTACTGCATTCAACTGAGAATGAAAACTCAAAATACACACCTGCTCCTCCACCCAAAGCTTTCCCAAGAGTTGAGTTAATGATATCCACACGTCCCATACAGTTTAGATATTCCTCTGTTCCCCTAGAAAATTAAGATCCAGCAACATAAAAATTACAATGAGAAGTGAACTAGAACTTATTATCTATGGATGAATCAGGACAAATATTCAGAAAATGCAAAAGCAAAGAGTAGTAAATCAATCTGAAGACAACATAAGCAGTTCTCAAGAGAAGAAATGATCCCTACAGGTGAGCTACAATTTAACCCTTTACACCCTAACATCAGTATGCATATTCTCCATACTGTTCTATATACATTTCCTGAGCTGTTGACAAGGAGAATTGGCTTAACAATCCAGAGCTTCTGTAGTTGTTGATCATTTCCATCATTCTCATGACCCTAATGTGTGATTCAGGGGAGATACTGTAAGGAGAACTTAGATGCTAGTCACTCTTAGGGGTTAAAGGGTTAAGAAATTGCTGAAAAACCCATTTTTTTTCCAAATTAATTAAACTTTAAGGTTAAATAATATTGAAAGTAATACTTTTACCTCCCTGTGTCTCCAAGGAATCCTGTAGCATGACACTCATCAATGAATGTAAGTGCACCATACTTTTCTGCTAAGTCACACAGTTCACTATTAAAAGAAAACCCATGTAATTTTTGCAAGTGAACATTGAATGATGCCTGTGGATAATTTTGAAGATGACCCAGTGTAAATTGAATTTTCAATTTTTGTGGAACTTGGAGTATGAATGTTTTGTTTCAATAAGAAAAATTACTGCAAGAGGTCCAAAAATAATATATAAGTATATAAAAAACAGATCAAAGAGATTTCATGTAACTATAGTCCTCACATTCTTTAGTTATGAACAACAACTCACATTTGGTTGCAGTTATTTTAAATTTAGTTTCAAAGACATCTCTGTACAGGAGTCAAAATTAATCATCCAATCAAAGTAAATTTATATTCATTGACCATACATACTTAAGAGGTGCAACTTTTCCATCCATACTGAAAACACCATCAGTAACTATTAACTTCATACGTGCTCCCTCTGCCTCTTTCAGCTTTTCTTCAAGGTCTGACAAGGAATTTACAAATCATTAGTACTATATGAGTAATAGTGGTACAGGAATTAATTAATAGATACAAATACCTGATAGACATGAAATTTAAGTACCTGCTAGGATAAGAAATTATAAAATATAGAAATATAGGAAGAACAACAACAAAAATAAATGTATGGAATTGTATTTTCTTGCAGTGAATAAAATTTACGAAAAATTTTACAAGCAAAATTTACAAATAATCTAAATAATAACAGAATTAATACAACTAGGAATACCTTATAGAAAACAAAACCACGCATTAAAACATATTTTCCCACCAATTCCATAATCAGACAAATCACACCAAATCCCACCTTTCATGTCTTTATTTTTGTATCTGAATTTCTTGGCCTTGGATAGTCGTATTCCATCAATGATAGATGCATGATTCAATTCATCACTTAATATTGCATCATCTGGAGTCATAAGAGCCTCAAACAAGCCAGCATTTGCATCAAAACAACAAGCATATAGAATTGTATCTTCCCGTTCATGGAATCTTGATATCTTTTCCTCCAGTTCTTTGTGAAGATCCTGTACCCAAAACCAAAGTTGGTCTTTATATAAGAATAATGCAACGAGGGTCAAACCCATCATCACAGTTTTAAAAAAAGCTCACAACCAATTGAAAGCACTAATGGGGATTTATAAACAGTCAAAACCTTGAGTGAGGGGGGTACTGATAGGGTGAAAGTCTCAGATTTCCTGCACCCTCATATTCCATTTCCTGAACCTTTGACTCCTGTCTTAAGTCTTTAATTTCCAGCGATACACTGCAGATTAATAAATTTTTGCTTTCATGCATTTTCCTTCTCCTTCCACTTTCATAGATACTCTTTCTTCTACCATTCCCTCTCACCTCTTGTGACCCTCTTATCCCTGACCCCTCCCACACCCTGTCACCCCGCTGACTCAGCCTCACTATGGTTGAAATCGAATTATGGGTTTCTCTCTGCCAATATTTTAAAAGTAAACATTAAACAACAGACCTCACCATATTAACACCCTGTGAAATAACCTTAAGAGTTTATGAGATTTGTTCTATGGAGCCTCAATGTTACAGCAGACCCAGCCATTCTGTTCTTGTTGAATTTCAAAACATCCACTGTAGATTAATATACTGAGGGATTTTTGTGATCACAACATTTCAATCTTTCAGTGTGGCTTTTGACTCTGTCACTTACAATTCAGTCAATTTGAAGTTCAATTGTTTCCATATTTAAAACATATCACTATTAAGACTTCTCGCTTCAAGTTACTTTATCAAACTGACATAACAATTAAATTACTTATCAAAAATATAACAAAATTCTTGAATGTGATTGGTTATCACCAGCCTGATTTGAGCACTAACAGGACAGTGTACATGTCACTCTTGTAATTGAACAGTGTAATAGGACAGTTAAAGAGACAGTTAACACATCATGCCTGTGTAAGTGGACAGAACATGTCATGTGCACAAGCTGTTTTCTCTCATTTCCTCCCGTTAACTGTTTTTTTTTTTAATTTTATGAAAAAGTTTAACCAATGTCTAGTTTCTTTCTCAAATTTTGTCATAGTTTGATTAATTAGTAACAGTACTTTATGTCATCCAATTCTGTCTGTAATTATGTTTATTTTAAACAAATTAGACTCCTGCGATGCAGTCATCTGATCTTGTAAATCACTTGTATGATTACAGACCAAACTGGACTCCACTCAGTCTTATTACCATTATAAATACTGCATTTATATGTTTAGTTAATCATTTGTTCACCTGTGTACCACATATAAACCTGACTGAACTGAGTCCATTGCCATACTTGTCTAAGGCATCTTTAGCTGCTTGTATAACTTCTGGATGAGACTAGAAAAAGGAGGTATAAATAAAAATTAAATTGTGCAAGATTCTGTAGCCACAAGAAATTTATGCATAGACAGTACAAAACAATGTTACTCTCTATAAAATCTAGTCAATTTTTCTCTTACCAGGGTTCATCCCTTTATTTCACTTACACAAAAAAAATAAGTTTATCCTGGATATTTGTGAACTGATAGGAGTACCGAAAAAGTCCCTCCTACTTTTTTCATCAAAATCAATGTTTGGACTTCAGGGGAGCATTGCATTATATCCAGCAGATTGGAGACTACCTATTTTGGTGACAGTAACATTGGATCATCCTGAACACTAAAAGTAAGAGGGGTAAGGCATCCCTGGGTATAAAAAGTTTTGTTACTGTAACAGAATCAAGTTGGACTTGCAAAAACAAAGCTTTTTAACCCCAGAACTTTATACATCACCAAGTTCATATGGACAGTTCAACAATTAATTCCCAGAGACACCCAGAACCTGGTTTTTTTCATCAACAATCTGTGCAAATCTTAGGTATAACTCACTGACAATCCCAGATAGTTGTTTGCACAAAAGTTGAGCAGCTTTTCAGTTTGTCCATGTACTGCAATTTCTGGGGCTTGTTTGGTTGTTATAACCCTTTCATCTTTCCATGTGCCTGCTTGGTGGATGTCACTGAGCTGCGAGTCTAAGATTCCACGAAGAGCAAGCTGTGCTGCACTTGAATATTGGACAGAAATTTGTACTCTTGAGCAGCCTGTGCTGTGAAATGCTTTGATACCTAGAAATTGGGTGGCAAAAACACACTCATTTTATTATACACTTCTTTATCACAATGGTGTCAAAAGACAAGAAGGTACAGAGAAGTCCTGTGGTGACCCATAAGGCAATTTTTCATTAGACAAGGTATGATTTTTGTGTTTTCCTCAGTCCTTTAATCAAGCTACAGGGCGCTTATCTGATGTTCATGATAAGACAAGGGACACTCCAAACCATAGCCAGATATAATAATTTTTTGCAATACAGTATTGAGATATAAGCAACAACATAAACAATGTATTAATGTACTTGGTGAAGCCTAAAGTTTTAACAAGAGCACAGACAAATTGAAACAATCATGATATGAATATGTATGGCGGCACAAGAGTAATAAACCACCAACAATACTTCATATGCACCTTGAGGGGGGAAGGGAGGGAGAATGCGTATTCAAAATGTTTGGTTAAGATTTCATACTTTGTTGTACACACAGTTCTTGGATAAAGAAAACAATGATGAAAAACAAGAGATTGCCTTAAGGAATCCAGGGCTCGTACAGCAAAAATCATAAGCTTCAGCTAACAAGGCAGGGGGATAAGGGAATGCTTAGCATGTTTAAAAAATTGAGGGGGCTTAAGTCTCCCCCCAGCCCCTCTGCGTGGTCACTAGGGTCAGATTACAATAGTACGGGGGTTACATGTATATGGAAATATTTCCAAATTTGGGCAATAGGAGGGGCACATGATTGAAGAGCAAGGCTATTTATGGGATCTATGGTATAACTTTCACGTTCCACTTGCAGAGTTGTTTGAAAAGTGTAGTAAACTAAGTTGTGCACCAATAGGAACACAGCTAATTAGAGCTTAGATCACAACTTATTTTTGTTTTATTTAAGGCCTATAAGGGGAGTACCCATAAAGAATGCTTATGGCATGCAACCACTCCGGGCAAGTAACATTTGTTTACGTGCCTCCGCTAACACCCCCCTCACACCCCCAAGAGCTTGGTTTCTCAAAAATAAGATTTTGTGAAAAGAAAACAACACAGTAATAAATTACGTATATCCTACAGAAGGGTCACACGACCAGATGCCCTCATCATCAACAGTGAAGGTACCAGAGTAAAAACTACCAGGTTCTAAATTCGAATTTCTCAATCGATAATTTGGAGAGATGCTGATTACTCACCTGATGGGAAGATCGATCGAAGCGATATCCTTATTGCTGCCATTATTTACAAGTATATTCGAAACTTAACTTTAAGTAATTAATCAAATAATGATCACTATACCCGCGAAAATTATCGTGAGTGAATCGCAACACTGAAAGCCTCGTTTTGGTGCCTAAGTAAGCCAGCGGTTCATCACATAAAACTATGATTTTCCGCAAATAAGCGACACGTCTGTTAATCAGTGTAAAGAGGAATTTCGTCTTTTACAATCTCTAATCTGCCGTTTTTACCGCTATGAGACGAGCCCATGGTAAAATAATTATTTCTTTATAACAATATGTCTCAAATATATCTTGATGTTCACTTTCTGGCTTACTGAAAAGTTATTTTTCATTTTTTATCTGTCTCTTGGTTTCATGTAGTTCCTTCAGATTATCACGGAAATATGGCGCAGAGAACTGATCATGAAATGCTGGAAGAAGAGAACGATAAAATGGTCGATCATCTCTCAAGCAAAGTTCAAGCACTGAAATCGGTACTGTGTGATTATCTCTTTATATCAATGCGATTGGTACATTGGAGAAGTAATGACTGTATTGTAAGGTCTAGCTTAATAACTATTTATATTTCTTGTTAAAAAGATTAAATTTGGAACCCCGATGAAAAGAGTTTTTAATTCTTTGGTTGCAATATTGAGAAAAGTAATATTCATTCATTTATTTAATTATTCATGTATCCAGTTATTTATCCTTAAATTTTTTACTCCCATGCTATTAGTTTAACCCTTCAACCCATCTAATTTCTCCTTACAACTTCACACCTACATCAAATATGAAGGTCATGAGAATAAAGGAAATGATCATCAATTTAAGAAGCTTGTGATTGTTTAACAAATTCTCCCTGTTAGCACCTTAGGACATGTATAGGGAATGGTTTTAAGATTATGCATACTGATGTTAGGGTTTTGAGGAGTTAATTTAACTTCTGCATCCTGGTAATCTTGAGTTTTGTAAGGGAGGTAGTACAACTGGTCCCCATCTTATCTTTGATCTTAATATCTTTTTCTTGTAGCTTACAATAGACATTGGAAATGAAGTGAAATATCAGAATAAAATGCTGAAAGAAATGGTTAGTTTTGTAGTCCTTTTGCCTTTTTTGATTACCGTAAACACTGAGGTATAAGCTGCACTTGCAGATAGGCCACAATCCTTTTTTTTTTGCAAATATTATGAGAATAATGGTGCGGCTTATAGGCTGGTGTTAACAGTATTTGTGTTTAATTATGACTACAGCTTTCACATGCAGCTTTTTACTGGAAATCTGTGTTTGGCAGAAAAGCTTGTTAATCAGTAACCAAAGGTCCTTGGTTTACAAACTTTTCCTGTGATCCTTAAACATCCTTCATAGGTTACTATACTTAAGTGTTCTCCCTTATTTTTAGCATGACAGGTAAAAGAAATTTTCAAACTGGCTGGGCAATCTATTTACCCCTTGGATTTTAGGTGGTCATGAGAGAGACTATGGGCTTTGCTGACCATATTCTCTCTTATGACTGGTTAACTACCATTTACCACCTGATAAGGAGAACTCTGTGCTTATAAATTATGGAAAGGGCAGTCTAATTCTTAGATAAAATACAGCTATGAGTAGTCCTGATGTTTTAGAAATGTTAAAAAAAGATTTTAAAAGATTTCCCATTTCTTGGTTTTGCTTTTAAGGATACAGATTTTGACTCTGGAGGCTCACTATTATCATCAACCATGAACAGGTTAACAGCACTGACAAAAAAAGGTCACCACAGAGTCATGCTCTATCTGATTTTATTTTGCCTTCTTGTTTTCTTTGTAACCTGGTATATTATCAAAAGAAGATGAATGCTAATGAATATGTATATTAGAGTTCAAATTGTAAATAAAATGTCTATTCTTATACATGGAGTGTGGGTACTTTTTTCAGAGTACTTTGAACTGGTGTTTCTGTTGAACTGTTTTGTTTAAGCCTTTCACTCCCAAGATCTCATTAGTAATTCTCCTTACTGTCTGCAATACAATTCTTCTAAGGTTAGTTCGCAGAATTTTGCATTGGAGGAACTAACTATCCCCAAATTGCTATTTTTCTTTATTCTCATCACTTGTCTGCTTGATATTGTGTAGATATTTTAAGGAAAAATTATGCCATGGTCAGTCATGGTTGTTAAAGGGTTAAGGTCTTGTCTAAAACATTCAGTCCCAAGAGCCCTTCAGTTCTTGCTTGGGCATTGCTGGCTTAGGGACAAGAATTTAATGAGCAGTATGACAGTGGAACTTTTTTTTCACCAGTTTATGATATCTGTGTTGAAAAGCATGGCATCAACCACCCAGGTAAACAATTTTTCATAATCATAATCTGATCAAAAAAAGGAATTGTTATGGAAATCGTTGTATCTATTCATTCATTTATTTGTTTGTTTATTTGCATTATGTATACCATTGAGGTACATAAAACATTACAGTACTAATTACTAAATTATCACTTAAAGAAAACAAAAAGGGATGAAGATGAAATAAAGAAAACTAGGTAAATGAATTGAAGCAAAAGGTAACTAAGAAAAAAGAGGAAAAAAACATAGGGATACAAAATAAAGATGACGACAAAAAGAAAGTCATTAGTGAAAGTTTTGTGAGATCATTGTATTTATTTGCTAGAGCTATTTCTGAAATGAAGGTAATTGATGAGATTTATGATTTTTCCTTACCTTTTCTCTCTACATGGCAGCTCTCAGAAAATTTCTTGTTCATATAATTTATTCACATGAGAGACTTATTAGTGAAATTTCCAATGTTTTGATGATTGTATTAATTGCCTCTGTAAGAAAAAACTTATAAAATGAATTGGGTATAGTTATTTGCACGTCCTAATCGTGTTCCCAACAATCTTCAGTCCTGTTCCATTCCAGCATTTCCCATTGCTCATTTGGCGGGAAGAGCGTGAGCGAAAAAGCGCGCGAACGAGCAAGATGGCCGCGTAATGTCAACTTTTGTTACTACGTAAATTTTTTGCAGTTCAGTTCCCTCTTTTCTCCAGAAATCTCCTAAGAGTGGAAAGAAAACTGAACTTATACATTGGATTTTCTTCCCTCTGATGTAGTTTGATAAGCATGATGGCGTTCTTTTCACGTAGAAGACCAGATACCAGCCAGAAATTAGGTCAACATGCGAATGAAACATCGACATGGTGAGGTGTCGATTGGCTTTATTTCTTTTCAGCTCAAGCTTTCTAATCTTTATTCTACTCTTGATTTTACATACAACATTTAAAACTAGCCCTAACTATTTCTCATCCCCAAGTTGATATGACAGTAAGCTATAGAAGTTTTCAAAATCTTTTTCTTGTGTACAAAATAATATGACAGTGAGCTATAGCAGTTTTCAAAATCTTGATGTGTTGTATAGTACGTTATTATACAAACCCAATTCTTACCAGGCTTATAGTTCCCGCTGTTTAATCTGTCTTTTCTTAATTGATTTTATATTCTTAAAAAATATCTCGGAAAAGAAAAGGGAGATACATTTCGGAAGTCATTTTGCCGCGTTTCGTGCTCTGATAGTGGAGACAGTGATGGAGTAGATAGTAAGACTGATAGTCCAAAAAAGGCAAGAAAAGTAGATAAGTGAGAAGAAAAGAATAATAAAGAGGCTGAAAAAGAAAGAAGAAAAAAACAATCACATGAAAAGGTTCTTATAAAGCACTTTGCTCTTATAGTTACTGAGCTTTGGTGTCAAGTCTCATATCAAAAACAGTTCACTGTAGTGTCAATGTTATTCAACTCCTCATTTGCTGAATTACTGTTATTTCTGATTTTTCCATCCATTATAGTTGCTTTTCACTCTGTTCCATATGGTTACACACAATCAATCTGTACAAATTTATGAAGAGTTAAATTGGATTTTACAAACATGAGTTATTTTTTAACCTATGAACCCTTTACATCCTAACATCAGTATGCTTATTCTCCGTACTGTTCTTAATACAATTACTAAGGGTCTGTAAAGGAGAATTTGTTTAACAGTCAAGAGTTCTTTGGTTGTTGATCATTTCCCTAATTCTCATGACCTTAATGTTTGATTTAGGGCTGATATTGTGAGGAGAAATTAGTTGCCAGTCACCCTTAGGGGTTAAAGGGTTAAACAATGTTTCATAAAAGCCTGATTGGCTTTTGAATTTTTTTTGATAGATGACAAGTGCACATCATATGAAAAAGAATTCCTCTTCTAAAGTTAGCCCAAGTTCAAGTGAGCACAAGCACTCAAGATCCAAACATGTGTGTGGTTCCAAAACAGAGGTTAGCACAAAAACTCAGTCAGCATCACATGCGCTATTTAATCAATGGCTGTTACATGTATATGATGTTCTGATGACTATATTTCTCCACTTGCTATTTTTTGTCTTAAAACTTATGTGTTTTTCTGAAAACCCTAGCATTCCAAGAGAAGGAAAGAGCAGTTAAATGACCCTAACATTGCCATTATTTCAAAGAACAGAATTACAGTAAGTTAATGCTTTGGAATGGTAGTAAAAAGAAAATGTTCCCTTGTCACAAACACATATATTTCTGGGATTATCAATCTTCACCAATAAATAGAATAGACAAAAATTTCATCAGTTGTTTAATACCATTTGAAATTTGGAGAAAGCCATGTAGTTTAGTATCAAGCATTTTAGTTTTGTAAAACCAGCAGAGGACTAATCACTAATATGGTACTTGTACAAAAATATGATTGCTGTCAAATGCATATGACAATTTTGAGCTGATAACTTAATATATGTTGTACAATCAAGATCTATGTACAATAAGATTTTTTTCCAAAGTCAAGCTAAACAGGGTCTTGTAATATGGGGGAGTTATAAACACTTCAGGCTAATAATATGTTTAAAATACTTGATTTTCTTTCCTTGCATCAAAAGTCTGCCATAAGGATGTATATAGCCAATTTATTGCAATAACAGTGTTCCAAATTATGCTAAACAAGATACCTTGCTTGTAAAATTGTTGCTGATCCTGCATGATTTTTAATTACTTTGACCATTATAATTCAATTGATCATGATAATTATTTCATTCAAGACCTTGTTCCTCTTTTCCTGGAAAAGGAAGCTTATAATTTTTTTAGTATCTAAATGTAAAATAAGAGAAAACAATATCTGAATCCATCAGGTTCATGTATATGAAAGTTTGCTTTATAAGTAATTTCATTTATAAATGACCATGTTTCATGTAAATTGTAGAGACAACTGGGTATATACAACAAGGCCAAAAGATCCAACACAATTTTGAGAGGTGAGAAAATAACAATTATAATATTGGTTTACAGCCTGTTAATGCAACTGCTTTGCATCACCCCTGGACCAATGGGAGTATTTCTATCAAGCATAAATCTATCCTAATTTGTTTGTACCTTATTTGGTTTGGCAGAGAATCTCAAGCAAAAAATATGTAAAAAGGTAAGTGGTAAAGCAAACATTTATATAATAGTAATAGTTACCAATGAGTTGAAAAGAAACTATTTATTTTTTCCAATGCTGACAGCTTGCTAAGGTGACTTATGTCCAAGAAAGCTCCCTGGAAAGTGTCTGTAGTTGCAAGCTTCATGTAAACAGTTGAAAAGTTTAGAGTGTAACTTACAGCCCTACTAGTGATGATATTGTCCAAATCAGCATATTTGACAGAAGTTCTTTCACATTTCTTAGAAATTTGAAAATGTCAAGGCAAAAACTGCAGAAGATATGGCTAAAGTACTTGATTGTTCCTCCTTCAAAATATACTTATCTCGCAGTGGCAGTCTGCAAGAAGGTCAAGGTAAGTTTCCAGCTATTACACTCTATTTCCAAATGAAATTATTACATATGAGTTATGATCATGGGTACCGATAAATCATAACAATTTTTTTTCCAAAATAGATTCTCCAGTCCAGCACATTTCTGGAGAACGAGACTCTCTGTAAGTTAATATTTCATTCTAAGTTGTGTTTTATTAATAATCTATGATAAATAATGATAACAAATGATAACAATGATAATACATAGCAATGATTATTTAAAAAAAGATCAAGGTGGACAATAAAATAGGCATCCTATTCCTTGCAGTGTGAATTCTTGCCAAACATTGACATATATTCACATTATTATAATAGTATTTTCTTTTTCATTTTTAGAATACAGAGCTCTGCTGGTAGCAGTAAAACTCAGAGGTATTAAATTTACCTTTTTATTACATAAGAATAAGTAATAAAGTGTCTTAAGAAATTTCCCTATCTGCCAGAGTGCTTGGCCTTTGGTTCAATCATGGTTTTTGGCAGAACATGTAACTGTTCATAGTTATTTCCACTTGGAGAGTTTTAAGACAAAGTTAGAGAACCCAGATGACTAGGATTCCTATTAAGAGGATCAGTGGCACTCTCTGTCCACTCTCTGTGGACATTTTTTTCCATCCTTGTATTTGATATGTGAATACCTTACTGATAGCTCTTGCAGTTCCACTGGTAGATACAGCAACCCTGACAAAAGTAGAATTACCCCAGTGCGAAGGATTACTCCTCGACAGATTACACCTCAAAGTGAATCTATGCTAGCATTTAAGGTGTGTCTGTTGTATGTTTTTTTCCTTTAATCAATATTGCACCATAGAAGGTTTGCTTATATACATGGTCTTGCTTCAAAAGTGGTAATTTGTAGGCCTAAATTACTAATAACTAATTATCAGTGCAAATGATATGAAATATATATCATTAATAATCAAGACAGTGAAATTATTTCTATCATGAGACAAAAACTGTTCTCACACCTCCTTTAGACACCACTACAAGAAATATCAGAACATTTAACTGAATCCTTGAGACCCTTGGAGACATTTCATGGAAGAAGTAAGAAAACATATTTTCTGAAGAATATAACTC